GTTGTGGGCCACTGGTAACCAGCCGCATCACTGAACTTGTAGCCATAGGACGAGGTGAAGTCGTCGAGGACAGCAGGGCCACGGGATCCTGTGGACAGATTAGCGATCAAGTCAAGGGCAGAAAGTAGACGGAAACTTACCGTAGGGATACTCCATGGGAATGATCTCCTTGTTGTCGTCAAGGTAGTGCAGCAGGGGAGTGAACATTCTCCAGCTAGCGTCCAACTCGTCATCACGGACAAAGTTGGAATGGTCGCCCTTGAGGCAGTCCAGAATCAGCGACTCGTAAGCCTCCGGGATCTTGAGGTCGGAGAAGCGGCGGCGGTAGGTCAGGTCAAGCTCAGTGACGACAGTCTGCATGCTAAGACCGGGCAACTTGGAGTTCATCTTGACATAGACACTCTCGTTGGGCTGGATGCGCATGACAAGCTCGTTGCGGGGAATATCCTTAAAGATACCCGACGTGACATCCTTGAATTGGATGCGGATCTCTGTCTTCTGTTCATTTAGGGCCTTGCCGGCCTTCATGATGAAAGGAACACCGTCCCAGCGCTCGTTCTTGATATACGCAACGAGGGCACAGAAGGTGGGGCACCTCGAGTCCTTGGGGACAGTGTCGTCCTCCTTGTACGAGGGCTTGCTGCCGTCCAGAGACCTGCCATACTGGCCGATGATAACATTCTTGGGCTCGATGGCGGGCATGGCGCGGAGGACGCGCACCTTCTCATCACGAATATCCTCGGAGGCGAAGGATATGGGGCGCTCCATGGCTAGAAGGGTGAGGACCTGAAGCAAGTGGTTCTGCATGACATCGCGGATGATGCCAAACTCGTCAAAGTAGCCGCCACGGCCTTCGGTGCCGAAGGGTTCCTTGAAGGTAATCTGAACGTTGTCGATGTTCTGTCTGTTCCAGGTGGAGCCGAAGAAAGAGTTACCAAAGCGGAGGATAAGAATGTTCTTGACCATCTCCTTGCCTAGGTAGTGATCAATGCGGTAGAGCTCCTCTTCCTTCCAGTCCGGCTCCAGGGACTTCTGCAACTCGCGGGAGCTGGCAAGATCCTTTCCAAAGGGCTTCTCGATCTGCAGTCATCACGGGGTCAGCCAATCCGTAAGCAAATGAGGTCAAAGGTGGCACATACAACAACGCGCGCAATACCCTTGGTGGGGTAGCAGCACCTCTTCAGGTGCTGCGAGACGATGGTGAAGACACTGGGGGGGAGCGCCATGTAGAAGAGACGGTGAGTCTCGGGCCTGCCCCGCTCAAGGTCCTCGAGGTGCTTGGTCAAGTTCAAGAATGAGTCGTCCTTGTCGTACTGGCCGGAGACGTAGGTGCAGAGGCTGCAGAAGTCGTCCAGCTGCTGCTCAATCTCCTTTGTGGGGGTCTTCATGTAGGACCTGATGCGACGGATGTAGTCTTCATGGTCCATCTTTGTGCGTGCATATCCGACAATCTTGATGTCCTTGGGAAGGAATTGGTTTCGGTACTGTTGCGCCGGTTAGCTGGGCAAGCCCGCGGGTACGGCATCTCAATGCGAGCCAGTAGATCGTACCAGACCGAACAACGCAGGATACTGTAAAGAAGGTCAGTAATTTGACAGGCCTTGAAGGGATTGGAATCTGCTTGCTCACAGTCTTCTTTTTCGCCAAGTCTCCGGAGGCACCGAGAACGACGATGACGGTGTTCTCCTTAAGCTCCATGGAACTGTGGAAGGCGCGCCCGTGTCAGCCAATTTGCGCTCGAAGAAATGATGACGCCGGTTGCGATTGCGCCTCGCAAGACACAGTCGATCCCCAAGCAGTTGATGATGCTTGGCGAGGCTCCGGAGTGGTAGTAAACAGCATAAGGGCATTTTGGTGGGGTAAGGAAGGCGGGGTGACATACGCTGCGGCGGAGGTGTGGTCGGCCATTGTGAAGGAAGCCGGTGATAATATTGGCTCGACTATGAATGTTCTTTGGTGTGAGAGATGTAGAGAAGAGGCGGGTGGGTATGCCTCTATAGCAGGAAACCAAGTCGACAAGCAAAAAGGCAGAAGAGCGAGTTGGGGAGGTGTTGGAAAGAAGTACTGGGCGGAATCCGGAACGGATGGATTGGGGTATTTAGTAATGACGAAGCACAGATGTACCTCATCTTCGAGGTAGGGGTGCGCAGACCTGCCTCAGTATGGATATGGCCTGTGTGGATGGGGATAGGTTATGGGTACGCACCTGGCACTAGCAGCTAGCTTGAGATCAGGTCGGCGTACTGCTCCTAGTAGCGTACAGACCAGGGTTGTCAAAGCAGGACAGGAGGCCAGGGGGAGCTTACTCACAGTCGAAGGCCCCTTCTTCGTGCCTGCTCGCTACGCGATAGCGCGGCAAATACTGTATGTACTTGGACACTTGCGGAAAACTCGAGTTCCTGCAAACCGCACCGCGGCTCGCCTTTTTGCGCCCAGAAGCGAATCAGTCAGAGAGCAAGCCTCGCTTGATGGGTAAGTGGGTTGGCACAGGTGAGTCTCGCTTCTTCAGACAGCGCCTGCTCTCACCGGACTGTTGACGGAGCTGTGGAGAGAATCAAGAGCTGGGCACACGGAGACGGACAAAGGATTAGTGAGCAGGCGGCTGTTAATGAAATTTCCCAGAGGGGTTTCGCCGCCTCTTTGCCAGAACAGGCCCCTCAGTCAAGTCGCCGGGATAATCCACTTCATCTTGCTGGCTTGACTACGGAACTTGAACAGGGCTGATGTCAATGGATTGGGGGGAGGGCAGAGGCCACCCCAGATTTACACGTATCTATCGGTCTTGAGCTCACTGCGTCCACCAGCCATCAGCAATACGGCAATGGCAATGCCTATGAGCTGGGGCAGATCCCTCGGCACTTGGTTAGAAGTCAGAGCTTCCTGACATAGCTCCAGCGTGCACAGAGTCAGTCATGCCTACCGTGTCCTTGATTTGTCCCAGCGACAACGGCATAGGTAGGACCAGGTGGTGGGCAATTGGGTTTGATGCATAGAGGCAATCTATCCGTCACTAACTTGTAAGCAGACTAGTGAGGGTCTATATCTTTGCCGGATCTGGATTATAAAGCACCCATCTCGTTTGGCGTAGGTCCTTGTAGGGTGTGCATGCGTCGCTATCCCATCGAGGCCTCGAGGCGACCTATATAGTATATACACAGGACAAGAAGGTAAAATACCTACCTACCCAACAAGTGCCAGACCCCTGTCCGAAGCATACTTCTCGAGCAGCGCGGGTACTTTGGATGATTGGGAGCCAAGGCATACCGTGGTATGCAAGTTGCAGTAGGATTATTTGAACCGGCGACTGTCAGAGCGCGCCGGAACTCCAGAAATACAAAACCATCAGAGGAAAGGAAGGGGTAAGGACAAAAATAAAAGACCGTGTGCCCTGTCGGTCCTCCGCGCAGCTTTTAGCACGAGGCAGGCACACGCACACGCAGACGTGCGGGATTCTCGGCCCTTGGACGCCTAGCAACTCAAGTGATCAGTCCCTCAGTAAACAATATCCACACTTATGACCTCAGGCGGGCGGATAGCAAGGGCCTAAAAGGGTCCAACGCCTTGAACCGCTCAGCATTGAGCATTCCTGATCTTGGTTTGGGCTCCATCGCTGGTTCCAGCTCCTACGACGGTAGTCCTAGTCCTTCTCTCCCGAACGCCGGACACCACCGAGCTTCCCGATCGGACTTTACTGCTTCTGAGATCGTCTTCCTGTGAAGAGGGCGGGTGGTATTCGCGACAGCTGGTGGGAGCGGGCGTGGGTCGGCCAGCCTGTGTGAAACGCTGCACCCTAGCAACAAAATCTATCACTCTGACCTTTATCGTTGAGGTCCAGTTGCATTGGAGAGTCGTCGTATCTATCCGTCTAGCCTGCATGACGGCTGGAGGCGGATATGCTTGGGAACGTTTCCTTTGCATCTTGCCCCCCCAAATATCCCATTAACTCCGATGTTGTCATAGTGGGAGTCTCGCAGTTCTGCAAAGTAAGCCCCATACACACCAGTCTGGCCAATGCATCTGTGGCATGAAATTCTGCTGCAGTGTCCTGGAAACCCACAGTGTTTGGCGGCCAAAAATTGCCGCATGCCCACCCCTCCGAGGCGTGCCAATCGTTGAAGCTCGTGGCTTATGCAACACCAGTCATATATTACCACAACCACCGCCTAAGCAGTTGAGAGTATCTCCAGAGCCCACTCCAGGCCCCCGCGGAGCAGTTTCTTGTCGGGTTCAACCCAGTGGTCCAAAATTTACAAAATTGCAAGCATATCGGCCGATACTGTATGATTTTCAGCAGGAAACTGGTTGGGACGTCTTCTGCGTGGTTGTCAGATTGTGTCTCTCCCCTCTTCCTTCATCCTTTTTATCTTTATCTTGTTGTTGTTTTACGCTCCATAAAGACATCGAGCCTGTTCAGAAAACCCCGTGAGGTTGAAGCTTTGGGAAGCCGGACCAGCAACTGTCTCGCAACTCGGCGGGTTTGGTGCCTAAGCTTTCCACAGATACCCTAACCGATGCTGGAACTCAGGTCCAGCCGGTTTGTGTTTCTTCATTTAAGGTGTGTGTAATCATTGTTACTCGACTCCATGATGCACACATTGGTCATGGACAGGCTTTCTCAAGACTTCGGGCGAATGAAGGGGCGAGGGCGGTCGGGGCAAAGAAAGATGCATCTAGAGTCACGGACCCCCGGTCGGCACCTGTATCAAAGCCGAATGGGCTGAGAGAAACACAAAGCCCACATCCGCGTGCAGTTATAGATGCCGGACGCGGAGCGCGTTGCCAAGATGCCGAACTTGAATCCGGTCAAGCCACACCACCCAGCCCACAGTTAGCACGTGATCTCGACTGTGGCACAGTGGGACTCATCTTATCCTGTGACCCCCATGTAAGGGGGCTGCTGAGATAAGCATCTGGATGCGCTTTGATTGGCTAGCCTAGATTTCGGTAAAAAATTCATGTGGCAGGTAGGGTCACTTTACCCTACCTTCCTTTCCGCATCAGTGTTGAGCCTATCGAGAGCCGCCTGCATTATTCACGAAGCACCCAACCGACGTCGACCAGAGTACCAGTCTTTTTTCGTGAAGACATCCTCTGACTTTCCTTTCTCGAGTCCCTTCTGGTTGGAGCGAGGAATACTAACCACCGCCAAAATGCCTTCGGAAGCCGGTCACAGATGTGAGTTGTTTGCCCTAATATCCTTCAACACAAGTTTGGCGATGCGGATTGCGGCTGCGCAATCAACCTGGACGATGCGTGATGTCGACGGGCTATTCGCACGCACCGCATGCCGCATCACATGTTGCTCTGTTTTCTTGAATTCGAGCTGACTTTGACTTCTCGCAGTATACGTCAAGTAAGTCCCAAAACCGAAATCGCATTTTCCCCGCGACCGACTACGCATCGTGGATTGATCCCACGAACCTCCTATCCCCTCGAGACACTCTTATCCAACGATGCGACGATGCGCAGCGAGTCTTACGCACACCGAATGGACCGAGACTAACCTTCACTTGCAGGGGACGTCACCTTAGCTACCAGCGTAGCCGTCACGTCACCCACCCCAAGACGAGTTTGATCAAGATCGAGGGAGTTGATGACACCAACGCTGCCAAGTATGTGGCCTCCTCCTACTCGGAGATATCGTCAGCTAACCAGCGAGTAGCTTCTACCTCGGCAAGAAGATCGCCTACGTCTACAAGGCTCAGAAGGAGGTCCGCGGTTCCAAGATCCGCGTCATCTGGGGCAAGGTCACCCGCCCTCACGGTAATTACAGCCCCCCATTCAGATCGAACCGCCTACAATATCTCGAGCTCTTCCCAGCTAATAATATGGAATAGGCAACTCTGGTGTCGTCCGCGCCAAGTTCTCCAACCCCCTCCCCACCCGCTCTTTCGGCGCATCTGTTCGCGTGATGCTCTACCCCTCGTCGATTTAAAACGGCCCATCATCATCGGACGGAGTTGGTATTGAGGATGGATTCTGAATTGGTTGCATCGGTCAAGGCAAGGGCAAGAGCACAGTGCTTTGCTTGCTAAAAAAGGCATCAAATCAAACTCGTCAAACAACCACACATGAGGCGAAACGCACACCCCGCCGGGAAATACCCTCTCCCCTTTTTACCAACTGAGACATGGGGAACATGAATTCTGCGTGATTCGGCAAGAAAAAGGAGAGTCTTTTTTTCTGTGTACGGGTTGAGGAGTAGCCTTATATGCTTGGGGGCTCGAGGACGGGAAATGGAAAAAAAAAAATCAACATGCTTGATTTTTGCTGGCCGGCTACACAAACGCGATAACGACGAACGGTAGATCGGGCGGCATTAATGTCAGGTGTTTAAAAGACATGGCTCAGCGACGGTATTCAATGGTTTTTGCACAACTTCCATTTCGACCCCCTTGACCAACAGTCCTTCGGCTCGTTTCAGTCCCAGTCCAAATGTCGTGCTGCGAAAGCAGTCACCTGGCGGCCTCCCAGCCCTGTCTTGCCACTTCTGCCATTGTATATGCGCTCCATGTCCATCAGTCCAGGCCCAGTGACATGCCACCTATTGTCTCATGTTATGCTGATATGGGGTTATCTTGTATTTTCCACATGTGGACTGTGCGAGCGGAGGAATCCGGGGAAAGTCTGCCCTTGCCCTGGTCATGTTAAGCATCTGCGTTGGCGACGCCGCGTCTTACACTTGGGATATAGCATCGCAAGTTTGATGAAGCAAAGATTCTGCCTCCGAGATTGAGTTTCCGGATTATGTTCCTGTGAGTCGAACATCGTGCAGGTGACGTCAGCGTGACTGCGAGGCGAGCGTGAGGAAACGAAGTCTCGGAGGGATCGGCCTCCCTCTTCACGCGCCGGCTAATCGTGTAGCTAGAGATGTCGTCTCGCCTTCTCGGGCAGGACCACCGGCAGAAAACCTTACTATATTCCAGCAATTACAATTACTGTGGGTGAACACGCCAGTCACGCCTTACCTCCACATCACACATAATCTAATTACCAGTCTAGTGAGGCAGTGGAGCAACCTTACTCTTGTCTGGTTGAGCATGGAGCAAGATGATAGGCATTCTGTTTGCGAGAAGTACAGTATGTTTACCGAGGGTGGCTTCCACAGGCTTTGTAAACAACAGATGTCGCTCTCGGAGAGGCCAGCCAGGAAACAGGGTGTGTCTTTTACCTTCTGAAGAGCTATCTGTCCTACCTAGTGAAATGAAGCATGCTGTACTGGGATGTGGTGTCTTGCCTGGTATATGTCTGATGACATTGGCGGAGGTGCGTTGACCCTACGAGGAAACCGAATCATAAGTTCGAGGTATATCACACGGCTTGTTTATGAGTCTGTACCATCTTGATTCCACCAACTGTTATGGATATGGCAGATATATCGAGCATTGCCGCCCACCGTCCATTCTTCCATCATTCTCTTGGCTTTCTTCCCAAACATAATCGTAGCTGGACAGCAATGAAGGACAGTGAGGGCATTCAATGGCAGCCGGTTCGTTGTTGATCGCTTACTGGATCCATAACCTCAGATATAATTCTAACCGCCTGGTCTAAACGAACACTTGATTGGACTCCCGGATGATAAGAACAGGTGCTACCGTTGCCATCCATCTCCCAGTGTTCAGACTACAAGCTGATTACGGCTCCCTGAAAGCACATTGCTGCGCATGCGATTCGGGGCGTTCCCGCAGACATTCCAGAACTATGCGACAGCTGCTAAAACACGTGACCTGGTCTACAACCTCCTGGTGGTCTCTCATGAGGCAGAGATTATTCCATCGAGTTGTCGAACGCTGGTGTTGTGGCGTGAATAATGGGCATGCCTATCCGCAGGAGATTACCCAGCCAAGTTTAGATAGATGGCACACGCGACTTCGAGGAACCGAAGACCATCATGGGTTCCTATATTAGTGTAAGCTCACTGTGGATGATTGTCTCGAGGTCGCCATCTCACGCCGAGGGTATCTGTCGGTGTGATGGCGTAGGCTACTGTATTGTTTCTGCGAGCTGACGTGGAAGGCATCTCGAAGGTACAATCGCCCTCTGGATTTTGCGAAAGCAAATGACCTCTTTACTTGCCTGATGTCGGAGCAAGACCACACATATGCCATTAGATGTGATAATATGCCGCATAAGCCGATGTTCTTCAGCAAGTATTTACCCAAGAGTTCCGACGCAAATCTCACCTGAAATTAGCTTTCCTCTCCCTCCTAGCGCGAGCAATTTATCTCCCCCGCTTGAGAGTTGAGAGAGCCTTACCACACGCTCATGATCAGCGGATAGCGAAGGGCAGAGGAATCGTATAGATGGACACAACCGCAGCGCCATCCCGACCCCTTAGCCCTTCCTGCCTCATCCCCTCCTCCAGCGCATCCCGTCTTCCATCAACCCAGCAGGAATACGAAGGGAGAGTTTAAAATTTCAGCATAATATAAGGACGTCCAGCGGAGGCTGGAAGATGTGGCGTTCAACCCATCTAGTATTTGGGCGGACGGGATGTAAGTCGTTATCTTAAGTGGTATAGTAGTTCCACGTAGGTTCAACATTCACAAGTTCTTCGAGAAAACACGACTTCCTTAACATTACTATGCAGGACGGGTAGCAACTATTCATTGTCAACTTCTCAACCGAAGAGCGGAGACGCGGGTGACGATTTGGCAAGCCAAGCCCTTACTCTATCAGCCAACTTCAAGCCGACACAACTCGACCTACAAGCTGGGTGTGGAACCACACGACATCGGGCCAGGAACAGTGACGGGCGATGCATGGTGTGAGGGATGATTGACTAGTGGTTAGTTCACGAGAGCCGAGCACACTACTCGGAGATTACCAACCCCAACCAAGCGTAAGGTTTTGCGTAGACCGACTGCCTCGGTCGCGTAGCAGAAGCCTCACCGGTTCAACCTCTGGAATCGTGACTAAAGCTCTCGGAGCCCTTAACCGGACGCGGCAGCTGGATTCTCTGCTCCCTCACCAATATTGGGCACGTTCCGTCTGAGAAGGAAAACCTAGTCTCAGTATGGGTGGAGTCCTCTAGTCAGTGCATCATATCCTTAGTCGCAAATGACCAGATCAACTCAATTCAGTCAAGTTGGGTTTCCAGAGAACGGCGCCTAAAGTAGGGCGAGTGAGCATGTCTCGATATCCCTGGAAGTCTGTCATGGAAACACATGGGTAACCTGGATAAGTCGCTTCGTCCCAAGTTGTCCCAAACACCGGGAGACTGAGAAGTCAAAAGGAATGGGGGGGTAGGGTTCCGTGTCAGAGGGCCGGCAGATCTCTCATGAGGTGCTGGTCAACTTCGGGGTCTGGGCTCAGAGATCTGAGAAATAACGGCTAACCAGGATAAGAGGCCCAGTTCCCAGATGCCAGGCGTCACGACACTCTTGTCTTACAAGAGTGCAGTAGTTTCAGGAAGGATTTAAGAAGGAGGGAAAGATAAGACAGAAAAAGCCTGTCGGGTTGAGGTAAGTACCGTAGACACTGGTGAGATCCGGTAAAAGCTAGGAAACCTACTAACGGTAAGGGGCATCGCGGCCGCTGTGAGAGGTATAGTGCGCTGGCAGAAACAGGGATCTAGAGGTGGCAGAAGCAGGGGTTTGTTATTTACGTCAGCAGTAGGCAAGTAGGCAAGTGGGTGGATAGGTAGGCTAGTAGGTTGACCGCTTTATATATTGAGATTAGCGTGGTAGATATCCGCTAGCTGCTCTAGGATCTCTGCTAGCTTTTGCTGGCTAGCGGGCTTCCTAGCTTTTACCGGATCTCACCAGTGTCTACGGTAGGGAAAGGCCGGATGCCAAGGTTTGGTTTCTGTCCCACCCCCGGTCACTTCGTCAAGACTAGCAGATGCAGCTCCTAGAAGGTAGGTACCTGAGCACCCGAGTACCGCCCGCCACTTCCGCTATGAAGCGTGATCGAGATCGGTTCTCCTACCCGCCGTGCTCCCGCTCTGATTAACCAGTCCTAAGCTGGCTGGGTTACTGGGTTGCCTGAAGCGACCTGGTAGCTGAAGTGGTGCCTGGTGGGTTGCCATAGCTACCACAATCGCGGAGAGAAATCGATGGAAAGTGGTGCCAGCCAACGGACAAGTGAATTGGGGAGGTGGTTACAGCGACCGAGGCCGAGCGAAAAGTTCTGGACAAGGCGAACACGAGTCGAATTGTAAACGAGTAAACAAGGAAGGACAATCCTCATTGCAGAGCGAGTCTCCGAGCAAGCAACCCTTGATAGGCATACTATAGTGCGTGAAACAGGCTTACTATGTACAAGTACATCATAGTTTTGGGTGCCTGGCCAGGGTACCGGAAGTAAAGCCGTCCCTAACAGGTATGGATACTCGCCATGTATCTCTGTGTGTAGTGTGCCGGGGTAGAAAAAAGCCCGAATTTGCGTGGTCCCAAGAAAGACGGAGGGTTGGCGGGAGCTGACCGAGCCTGCGTGTTGACAAATGATTGGACCCCAGGAACAGCGGGAGGGAGCCGTAGCTCGAGTCTGTTCTCCCGCAACAAAAGGATAGCCGCTAGCTCATATTGCTGCTCTGTATCCATGTCAGGGCGAGCTCCACGACGGCACCAAACTCTCATGATACCTGTCGCCGGAAAGTCCGGCCGTGTCAGCGTCCTGCAAGGCCAATGTACGTACAAGCTATTCCTCACCGAGGTTGGTGAGACGAGAATGGCAAATCACCTCATCCAATTCGAAAGGAGGCATCATTGTCAGAAGGTTATCCGTGGGGCCATGGCCAAACTCGATGATGTCGATGTCCGCGCCAGTGATGTTCTGGAAAATGTCCTGGACATCAACAGCCAGTCAGCGGATGTTTTCTGTTTTCGATAACAGGTTTGAACTGGGGAAATCTGGATCTTTTGCAGGCTGTTGGTGTGATGGCTGATGGGTGGAAACATGGAGCATTCTCCAGAAGCTGGAGCCACCAAGAACCCTTCTTCACATGGACCCACCCAAACTGGATGATGATGGAGGGTACATGTGATGAGAGGTGGTAAAGAGCGCCCAAACACGATGTGCAAAGGGGGGATATTATTGAGCTTGACAGCTCGGAACGGGGATCTCTGACGACGGGTCGGGAACCGCAGGTGCTGATACGCAGCATGGTCGAAGTACACTGGTACATGCACTACGTAAGCCATGTCCACATAACTATTCGCTGTGCGCGTACGATAGGCTTTCGATCAGCGCCATGGCCGCAGATCCAATGGAGGCGAAGCTCAGCCACGCAATATGGAACCCGCGGATGTTGACAACCTGAAGCTGAAGACCATTTTTCTCTTCATGCGGTCGTATAGCGGCTGCCAAGTCGAGAGCTCGGAGTCTCGGGTGCAAGTGGACCTCGTAGCAGGCATTGCACCATGGCATGACCGTTGGACGTGAAGCCCACCTTCTTGCAGATGTGGTCGATATCTTCCCCCCAAGGCCTGGGCTGGGGCATTCGAATACGGACACACCAATTACATGCGCTACTAGTGTAGTAGGCGCTCGTACTCCGTACAGTACGCGTAGTAGTGTGTGTACATAGAATCCGTGGCAACCCGAAAAGGAAGAGGCGGTGGGACGGGCATCATCTTTGCCCCACCTATCGTGTTCAATTCAGATGTTTGCATGTATTCGGACTCCAGTGTCCTTCGACATGCCGCCGGTTCGGACCTCATGGATGGTGGTTATGCGACCGAAGTACATAATAAATAAGTTAAAAACACTTAGCTGGAGATGTTTGAGATATTGTGCCAGAAAAATAGCGAGCTTGAGTCGCAATCGAGCCTCCTCGGCGCAAGAGAGGCTCCGCCGATTAACCAGCGGACTGACTAACTGATTGGCTGTTTGACTGAACCCACGAACGAACAATGGAATGGCATTGAGGGGGGCCAGGAAGGATTGCCGTTAGCTGCTGCTTGATTGATTGATGGATGCAAAGGCAAACAAGTTTCAGACCCGAGCTGTCGTACAGCCGCCCCGACGGACGCATATCTCTTGTGTGCACACCATCGTCGTCACCCAATGAAGCAGAGAACCATGTACACAGCCAAGAATGGGGGGCTTGGAGTATCATACAAGAAGAGCCAGAGAAACGAACCGACGCGGGATATCGTGAGCATTGGTGGCCATCCTGCCGTGTCTCGTTCTGCCTCCTCGCCTGCCCCAGTCTGTCTCTACCCATGGTAAACCCGTTTGTCAGTTGTGGTTGAGGCAGCCGGCAGTGGTTGATCGGGCAGGACCGGCGCTAAAGTTCTGGACGGAACTTCGTGAATCTCCTTTCAAGCGGAGGACGGGGTGGAAAGGTCGACGAGGGGCGAAACGCGTAATGAAGGACTTCCACTACCTACATAGTATCTATCGGTACCTACCTACCTACCTACAGGGTAGGATTCCCCCGCCCCCACCCACCTGGTCCACCCTCCGCACCCCTCCCTCATGCCAACGATTGACTGTGCTCACCTCGCATGTTTGTTTGACAGACAGGCAGGCAGTCAGTCTGGACAGTTTGGAGTTCCAGCAGAGAAGTTCCAGGCCAGGAACGTTTTCCGGTGCTTGTGGGAGGCGGGTCATGGTCATTGGGGCGGAATGAAATGGGGAATGCAAGACCTGGCCTCCCATTTCCTCTGCCTCCGGGTCGCACATTGAGGTTTTCCAGCCAGTTGTGCCGGTCGTGCCGCCGTGCTTCCAGAGAGGCCGACACGCCGTGGGCCCTGAGAACGTTCGAGCATCTGACGGCCACCGGCTGCGCCCTGGTTCAATGGCAAATGGTTTCCTTCGATTCTGAACCCCTGGCCAGGCTCTGGTTCCGTCGCCTTCGGTCGCCTGTCATTCTAGTGTATGGACGGAAGATCCGGCAATTGGAACCATACACAGCCCAGTTGGGCCATTGGTCCTGAGCGTTGTCGTATCTTGTCGCCAGGGCGCATCCCTCGATCGTTCCCTACCTAACACTAGTTGGTTTCTAACGGAAGGTAGGCAGAGGTACTGGGACGGTGGTAAACGCAAGAGAGGAATGCACTCTGCAGTGGTTCCGTGAGGGGAAAGGTACTCAGACATACTTGTGTCGACGGACGGTCTGTCTACCCTCCCTTGGCTAGTACCGAAGTGATGTGCCCGACGATCACAGTGAGCTTCAGAATGTTGTCGCCATGCCATGCTGTGCCATGCCACGGCGGAACAGGCCACACCTCCCGTTGGGGTTTACTCAAAGCCCTCTATCCGTATATTGTTCATCATAGACTGGTCACTACCTGCCCACCATAATGCTCCTTCATGCTTCCGCCAGTCACACACACCCACGTCCTGTCCGGGTTGTCTCTTCTCTCGTTGGTCCGGTTGGATCGGAGGCTCGTATAGATACTGACGGCCTCCCGCCGCATTTTCGCTGCATCTTTTTCTTCGTTTTTGGTTTTGATTTGACACTCTAGCAATGTTCATGCTTTCATGGAAAGTCTCGCCTCGTTGACCACGACCTCAAGATTGACCCGCCACGTTGCGTAGCGACACTTGACTCTCTCACGTCCCGACTCGTTCATATCTCGAGCCAGCTATTGCTCGCCACGGAACGTCCGCACGCTTTCGTCTTGTCTTTCAATTCGGGTTGAAGCCGCTTCGGTCGTAAACGGACCCCTGTCCCTTGAGATTGGCGTCTGTTTCGTCATTTTACTTTTTATTTTTATTCAATTCTTATTGGGATTTGCCGAATCAACGCGGCCTTTGGCACTATTGACGCCGTTCCAATTTCGGATCGTATACCTGAGGGCTTGAGGGCAACTTGGCCAACTTCACTCCGCCGCAACACCCGGCAACCCGGTCATCGACTACGATAGCAAAATCAGCAAGCAATATTGGAAAGGCCCTGGTGCGCACAGAGGTAGGAATCTCTTTCAGCCCCACCCACTATCTGCAGGCTGCCCGGTTTGCGGCGTCGCGCATAGCGTTGGAACCGACGTGGGATGAAAAGGTCAGAGACATGGGCTTATCGACTGTTCGCTGGACTGCATACGGTATTGCAGCTGCGGCAGCAGAAAGGTGAATTGAATGAATGTAAGTTGGGCTGACACCAATAGAGCCAGAACACTGCCAAGCGCATACACCCATCATCCGATCCACATTGTTCCATTCCACCCCAGACACAACTCAGACGCATCAGGCCAAGGACCGAAAGGGAAGGACCGACAGGAAGATACACGTTCACTACCGACCAGGCTAGCAGGTAAAGGGAGGAGCCAAACCCGTACCCTCGAACTACCTACGAGCCCATCGGCTACCAAACAGGTACCACGCGAAGGCGCTCTGAAACACGCGGCGATTACTGCTGCTTGACGTCAGCATATCGAATCACTATCGATCAATACCAATCAGGGGCGGCTTTTCTTTCGACCCGTTTTGCCCATTGGATTTGGCCATTCGGACAGCATAGCATTTTCCATTGCGCTGCACCGCTATTGGCATTGGCAATTGGCATTGCTTCAGGCGAGAAAGGATCGACTGACTCTCTTCTACTGGGGTCCCGCCACCCACCATTCACCACTTACTTACCAACACGCCCCCCCTACCCCCCCCCGTTCGCCTGCAAACGCGACGTCGCATGCCTTCGACCACTGATTAACGGCAACGTCAAACAGAATACCCAGTTTGCTCACACACCGTTACGAAAGCTCCGGACAGAGCTTCCACCCCTATCGGCGGGCTGCTAAAAGAGCAAATAGGCATCATCATAGCGGATGCGCATCTCGGTCACCTGAACACACGAGAACCATACTAGATTTCGATAATTGCTGCACCGACATCGACAGTCAGTCAGTGCTGAACTGAAGTGGACTGAAAAGGACGAAAAGGACCATCAGAAGACGAGACGGCCAGCCAACCAACTACCTACCTAAACAACACCGGACGGATAAGAAGCCGACAAATCACATCGCCAATAACGCACTAATCAACCGCCTACACCCCCAGGCGACCCCAGCCTCCTAGTCACCACTTTCACCCCACTGAGCCCTACACTTCCACTCTACGTACCGGATCCGACTCTACCTACCTAAGTATTCGACCCAATCGAAAAAAAAAGCAAAAAAAAAAAAAGCGAGGCGCTTAACTCTTTGTGGCCGCTACTTCCCCCTGCAACGCCCCAAGGCAACTCGTCCCAGCGCACCTTCCAGCAAACATCCTGGCGTCGCTCGCCCGAAGTCGCCCCATCCGGCATCAGAATCCAGCTCACAGACTCCCTCCCGCCGTCTCCATCTGTTTCTGTTGCAGCTTGCAGCAAATCCCTGGGTCAAAAATCGGCCAGAAAAGGCAAGGAAAGGGGGGAAATCACAGGTACGTATCGGATTGTCCGTGAGCACTACCTGCACCTGCACCTGCACCTGCACTTGCACTTGCACTTGCACCTTAGCGTACATCCGCGCCTTGTATCTACTCCCTCTGCTAGGTTTGTCGTTGTCACTGTGGTATTTTCGGGGTTGCTAGGTACTCGAAGCTGCTGTTGTTGCTCGGCCATTCCTTCCTGCTCGACACAGCGAATAGCACACCAGCCATACATACAGCTTCATTCGGGTCTTTTGCCAACTCACATCCCCCCAGCCACATTCGAGACACTCACTTCCCTGCTTTCCCGCCTCCTTGCGACATCGTCTCCAAAGAAGGGGGGGGAAAAAACTATACTCCAAGCTTTTCCATCTCTCGGTCATTCTCCCTTCCTCCGAGACTTCACAACACAATCACCCATCACCAGACAAGTGGTCATTGGGAACGGCCCGGCATACGGCTTACACTACTATTCTTTGCTAGGCACTGCATCCACTTTCAATCCCAGCAGTCGGTGGAAACATACACACGCCTCAATCAGACACACCCTTCCACCATTCTGAATCTGCCCCATCCTGTGGTCCACTTTACACACCATCATCGCACGCTCTCCCCCTGGAAAACGCGACCTTGGCTGCTTCGCTAGCCACTGACTTGAAGCCGCCCGCCCACTTCGTCCCCTTGCTGATCCGCGATAAGGCACGCAATAGTGTATCCATCCATCGACGACCTTGCACGCCGATACTACGCCCGCACCCATTGCGCCGCCCATTGCGTCCACCGCTTTGCAAGACAGATCGATTAAAAGTAGCATCCTCCCCCAGTCGCCCGTCATGGCAGAGCATCATCCACTCCCCGCGCTGCCTCCCCAGCACCAGCAGCCAAACCAACAATTCTACCACGACCAAGCCGCCGACTCGTACGACGAGCCAGCACATATTCCCTCCTACCAACACTACCAGTACAACCAGCCGCCGCCCGCAGGGCCACCGACTCGCGCTCATCCTCAGACCCAAGGCCCGGCACAGAAGCAACCTCAGTCTCCCCATAAACGACCCAGAACATTCAGTTTCCAGTCTAACAAGTCTCACAAGAGCTCGGGCAGTCACAATAAGATTGACTTACACGAGAGTCATCAAGAGAAGGAAGCAAAGAGGCTACACAGCAAAGCTGATCCCACCGTCGCCATGAGCGAGGCCGAACCTTGTACGTCTTTGCTGTTTACAAAAGCCGTTAAATTACATGTCTGACTGACGATTTCTACAGCCGCCGTTCAGGCAATGACGAAAACCTCCCTGGCGCCGCTGCGTGCCATCCAGCACAAGGACACAACCGGCAACCCCATCAGTAAGTCTGGTCTGAATATTTAAAACGGCATGCCTAACGTTTGACACCAGCCGAGCCCGACCGATCCAACCCGACTCGTAGTCGATGGGAGCGCCCTCTGGATACTATCCGCAGTTTCGAGGCTGCCATCGACGGAGGCTACCGTGACCGTGACCGCCGCCAATCATACCGTTCAGACGCCGAGTCTGTTGCGACATGGAACCGGCGCAGCAGTTACTATGCTAGTATGTTCAAAATTTATATTGGCAATGCAGGCGAGGCGGCCCGGCTAACCTTGAGATACAGCCAGCGGACCTCGACAGCCCCATGACAGCTATTATGGCGGACGCCCCGGTTCCTTCAGGCCCGAGAGCGGTCAATTCGAGATTGCATCCAACCGCCAGAGCTATTATGACCCGTACCACAACGGCGGCGGCGGTGGTGGAGGATACCACAATGGCAACGTTCCCTACCGTCAGAGAGTACCCAGGACACAGACCGACCCGCACATGAATGGCTATGGTCGTGGCGACCAGAACGTCTATCCTCTCCCTAACAAGGACCTCTCGTACGAAACTGTCGCGTCGGCAGCCGGAAGCGGAACTTCGGCAGAGCATGCTGGCTATCATACCGACCCCACTAGTAGCGACAACAGCTCCATCGAGCGAGCCCCGGCCCCCAAGCCCCAGCCCGTCAACGACTACGGTATCGGTTTCGCCCAGGGGCAATCTTACCAACCACCTTCCTTCAATCACGAGAATGGTACACCGAACGGCCTGCAGAACGACAAAGGCCACGCTCATTCATCTGTGAAACAAGGCCCTCAGATTCCCGACAAGGGCGCCAATGTGCTGCGGAGACCGGCCGCGGATCCACCTCAGCAACAACAGCAGCAGCCGCAGCAACGACCTGAAGCGCCGGTCAAGCGGAAAAGCTGGTTTTCCCGCAGGTTCAGCAAGGCATCCTGAGGAACGAGATGCACGATACATGACCTGGTTTTCGTCTTTACTTTGTCGATACCCCAATTTTCTGCATTCTGGACTTGATATGGTACTTCGGGCGAGGATCATCATATAGGGGGGCTTCTACGTGTCGGTCTGGAGACACCGGGTATTTTTCTCCATCCGATAAGTAGGCCTCCACTGAGGAAGGGGCAGGTGATTGAAATTGCTTGTCAAGCATGATCATTTTTTTGCTTGATTCTAAGACGGCGGTATAATGGCGTTGGATCAAAGTACGTGCACACGATTCGTATGACGAAGGTACGGGTGACGATGGTTGATGGTCGGGTTATGAACGGACTTTTATTTTGGCTTCATTTATGATGGCCTCCGGCTGCGGAGCTCTAGACATACGGCAATCTTAATTATGACTTTTTCACGGTGCTGCAAAACGAAGGCTGGAAAGAGCCCATAAACCAACCCCTTGGAGATGGTGCTTCAACTTGAGAAACATTACATGTTGCTTTATTCAGATTCCAGCGCAAGTCATCCCTGAGGGGTGATGATGACATGCCACATTTTTGATGACACTCGTTTCATTCCACGCCGTTACCTCAAGCGACGAAAGATGTTTCGCTGCAAGTATGATGCTCATGATTTAGCGGTCCTTCTTCGCTTCCTTCTTAGCTTCCAATTGATCGCTCTGGTCCTCCTTCATGGCAACGACGATATAGCCGATCAGTACCACATTGGCCATGACTGCGGCCAGGGCTCCGGCAAAAGTTGAGTTGCCTGGCACAATCGTTAGTCATAGCTAGGCTGGGTTCCTTGGGCCAGAGGAAATCTCAGCGCATCTATGTAACCCACCTCTGAAGATGAAGTCGACCGTAGCAAAGTACGTGCCGATAGGCAAGACGACCATGGCAAAGGTAAATCCGAGGAGCTTCATGATGACCTCCATCGGTACGGCGGGAGTGATGTTGGACTTGTCTCCAGCGGCAGGGCTGGAGCCGACCACATCGTCCTTCTCGAGAATCGTCTTCTCCGAGGCAACAATTCGTCGAGTCGCCATTGTACTTCCACTGGAATCTGATATTCAAGGTATGTGAAGAGTGCCGGATGTGACAACTGGGCTGGACAACGACATGCGATGAGTGAGCACAAGTCCTACAATGCTAGAGAATGAGGTGAAGCCCGTACAGGATTATGAATCACCGTTGAACCGGGCTCGTTGGCCAGGTAAGGCTGTAGGAGACTCGTTATTGATAGATGTTGAGGTTGTAACTTGACTTGACGGTCCCGCTCACTGAGCATGGCCTACGAACCAGTCAAAAGTGAGACGCAAGCCGAAAGACAGCGTTCACAGTTCAAACCAGTGAAGCCCCGCACAGTGCCCTTAATTGATGACGCCAACCACGTGCGAACGCGCTTCGGGCTTCTGTCCAAGCGCGTCTTCTCGTTTCCCCGTGTCAACGGACTGGGGTGGTGAAAGACGATCTGCCCCAGAAAAATCACACTCTAGATACGCTACCGCCCGTTCAAAATCTCGACCGCTCCTGCTTAGAAGGTCTTTCACAGTTGGAAGGCCGTACTTACCCAACATCTATCTGCTCTTTCTCTGCGATCTCTTCCCATTTAGCCTTCGCAAATTCAAACGAACGATAGACCTTCTTATGCAGCCGAAACCTCGAGATTCATTTCTTTACTGGACAACGACCCCTCCCCCCACCCTTGTCACTTGACTATTGTTCGCCTCTTCACGTCACTTGGTGATCGCTTTTTTTCAACCACTATAAAACCCACACGAGCCATGGTTATCAACTTGAGCCTGAGCTCTTCGCCTCCAGTGGGCAGCTCGGCTATAGGCACGTCGCCTATCAGAGGCACCCGTCGCGGCGACGATACCGACGAGCTCGCTGACGAGACGATTCCTTGTTCGCCGCTCCAGACACAAGCCACGCAGATAGTTAACCGGACTTCACTTGCGTCCCCGTCAAAGCCGCATCCCGATCTCTCCCCCTCCTCCCCGTCTTCGCGCTCGGTTATCGAGGTCCCCGCGTCGTCGCCTTTCCAGCCGAACAAGACATCGAGCATCTCGAACAAAGCGTCGAGCACCTCGACCTACTTCTCGCGCCTCGTGCCCCCGGGCTCGCGTTTCCAGCCGCCCCCAAAGTCGCAGCCGACCCCGAGGTCGCTCAAAAGACCTTCGGAGGAACCCATTATTGTGGACTCTTCAGACGACGAGAACAACCGCAGTTCTCGTGAGAATATCGCCCGGACTTCGTTTAAGAAACATGTCTCCAACTTCGAATACATCCCTGTGGACAAGCTGCAGAAGAAAATTGAAGCAGTCTCCCAGGCTCTCGGCAGTACAATGCCAGTTCAATACTGCAAGGAGGCACTGACCGCATGCCACAATAATGTTGAGGATGCAATCAACTACTTGTTGGAGGCTCGTCATCTGAAGCCCAAGGCCAACCCCCTCTTGAGCTCTAAGAAATCAGCTATCACCGTGGGAAACGAAAGACCAACGAACCTGGAGCGAAGAATCAGTCGATATGACGAGCCCAGCAAGCCGAAACTGCTTGGCCGCCATACCCCAAGCCTGCCAACCCCTTCACGAAGTATCACGCCCTCGCCACCCAAGCCAAAGCGCCGTCGCTTGATACAAGGTCGTCGCCCCGACCGGTCTCCTATCGCATCGCAACATATCCAGGAAATTGAACCGACGTTGGACGAACTCGCGGACGAGACGTTGGGCGAGCCAATCGTCATCCCAGACGACAACGAAGACGAGGACTTTGACAACGAGGATGAAGTGAACGAGGCGGTGAAGGAGAGTTTGCATGACAAGGCTCTTCAGGCCATCAACAACAGCTCCATCGAGGATCTGTCAGCCATGACAAATATCAAACTGGACGAGCTCAGAGTCATTGAGAATAAGAGACCCTTCGACACCATCGACGAGGTTCAGGCCGTGACTGTCCTCAAGAAATCAGGCGCGCGCGGCCGAAAGCCCAGGGTCGCGATCGGAGAGACACTAGTTGACGCAATCATGGAGTTTACTCGCAGCGTCAACGCCATTGACGAGGTTGTAGCCGATTGCGAGAAGAAGGCGAACAAGGTCAAGCAAGAGATTAGCCTTTGGGATCTCGACGTCAAGGGGCAGAAACGGAGCTCCCAGAGCTCCCAGGCCAAGAATGACATGCCCCTGACACCGACAAGCTTCCAGGGCCAGAAGCTTTCGGAGCCCCCAATTCCCTGCCAACCGAAAATGATGGAGGGCCACTGCACCATGCGTCCCTTCCAGGTGTTTGGTCTGAACTGGATGTCACTTCTATACAACAGTGGCTACGGATGCATTCTGGCCGATGAAATGGGCCTGGGCAAAACGTGTCAGGTCATCTCTTTGATCTGTCATCTCGTGGAGAATTACGAAGAGACTGGACGGGGCGACCGACCCTGGCCCAACCTCGTCGTCGTGCCGCCATCAACCTTTTCCAACTGGATGGTTGAGTTCCAGCGCTTTGCCCCTGGTCTTTCGGTACTTGCCTACCAAGGTCCCCAAGCCGAGCGCAGGGACATTGCATACGAAATGCTTGACAACCCCGGCGACTACCACGTTGTCTTGACGACATACACGCAAGTTGGTTCTGAGGATGACCTGGAGGCTCTCCGAGAGCTTCAGCCTGCTGCTGCAATCTTTGACGAGGGTCACAAAATGAAGAACCCCAAGACAAAGATCTACAAAGATCTCATTCGAATCAAAGCCCGTTGGAGGATGCTACTCACCGGCACTCCTGTCCAGAATAACTTGATGGAGATGCTCTCTCTTTTGAATTTTATCGACCCGAAGCAGTTCAGTGGCCGGATGGATCAACTCCAATACATGTTCAGTCAAAAGGTTACTATTCGTGACGTCAACAACGGTGCCTTCCTATACGGAGAACGTGTCAGCCGAGCCAGGACCATTCTTGAGCCTTTTATCTTGCAACGCCGCAAGCAGCAGGTGCTGTCCGACATGCCATCCAAGACCTGCAATGTGGCATATTGCGATCTGGCGCCGACGCAGAAAGAGCTGTACGAGGAGTACGAGCGCCTCTTCAAGGCCGGTCCGGCCAAGAAGACAAATACCGGACGACAGAGCGACCAGAACAACAGCTGGATGCAACTTCGAAAGGCTGCCATTCACCCCCAACTCTTCCGGCGATACTTTGACGACAAGAAGGTCGAGCAGATGGCCAAGATACTGATGAGAGATTTGCCTCAATCGGAGCTGCAACAGCCGCGACTGGACCACTTGATTGGGGAGCTGAAGAATTCATCCGACTTTGAATTGCACCTCTGGTGTCGCGACTATGCCTGCATCAGGCACCTCGATGTACCTGAAGGTTCTTGGATGGATAGCGGCAAGGTCACTAAGCTGCTCCAGCTCATTCATCAATATCGTGACAACGGCGATCGCGTTTTGGTTTTCAGCAAATTTGCAAAGGTCATTGAGATCCTTCGAGAGGTTCTCCATACCGATGGGATCAAACACTGTGTTCTGTACGGCCAAACTAGCGTTGGAGAGCGTCAGGACCTGATTGACGACTTCAACAAGGACATCGATATCACTGCCTTCCTGCTCACGACCGGTGCCGGCGGTACCGGCATCAACTTGACGTCAGCAAACAAGATCATCATCTTCGACCAGTCCGACAATCCGCAAGACGACATCCAAGCCGAGAACCGTGCTCATCGTCTGGGTCAGACCCGTGACGTCGAGGTCATCCGTCTTTTGACGTCGCACACCATCGAAGAGCTCATTTACAAGGCATGTCAGAAGAAAATTGAGCTCGCCGAAAAGGTCACCGGTGCAGTGGAAGACGTTGAAGATAAGAACGCAGAGGAAAACTTGGAGAAGGAGGTTCGGAAGATGATGGCGGATCAGATGACACCCTCATGATAGTATGTTCATGAGGCTTCGGTTCCGACGCGACTACTTGTTTTTGATATATTTGCATAGACAGGCGACTAGGCGCGGCTTTTGGTAGTCATCGCATTGACCGGCTACCTTTGTTGGGTGTTGTCCTGAGTTATATGGCATGATACTACCGCGGTAAGAAAAACATCACTCTTGTAATATCCCTAGAGAAGAGAGAAGGCACGGCCGGAAGTGCTAGATTATTGTTACTTGTTTTAGGCATTTGTATTTAGTTCGAGACGGAAGACATCCAGGGGGGGATAACCGTGGACAATATCACGGCCTTGGACCAAAGGGAGCCTCCCCAATTGTAGGGTTAGCATGGCGGTCTGGAACGGGGGCCAACTGGACGAAAGCATAGACGAAGACTATCAGTCTACACAGACGAGAGCAAGTATCTTTCAGAGGCAGCCTCGACTGAATAAACTTTTACGACGGGCATCTTGACATGTTTGACTCATTTTGGTGTATTCGATATCAACTTTCGTCACAGAGTGGGTGTCCTTACAACCCCATGTTTACGGGTTCTTGCTCTGGGGGGAAGAAGGTTTGAGGAACAAAGCGAAAGGGCTGAGGCATTGCCCATGTAGGAACCCGTCTCGCGTATAGTCCGCTTGAATAAGATGGAGTTTGGTCCTGCTCCGCCCTTGTTTACCTAGTATGCTGCCTCTGCCTCATATTTTTCAATAAACTCCGCCACGTCAACGGCCCCATGCGCCCGGGCAACCTCGGCCGCCGTTCCCTTGGCTTTGAACAGCGCCCTTGCCGTCGTCGACCTGATGGATTTGTCGATTCCCAGCTCCAGCAGCCACTTGGCGCAGGCCAACCGGCCCGTCCTTGCCGCGTAGTGCAGCGCGGTGTAGTCTCCCGACGCCATCTTGTGCAGATCCCGCCCACGGCCCAGGAGGAAGCTCGCGCTGCGCACATGACCGCCGCTGCAAGCCCAGAGGAAGGCGTCCGACCCCTGGGGCGTCGTGTACGACCAATCGGCCCCGTGCTCGATGAGAAGCAGGATCATCGGTAGCAAGCCGTACTGGGCGGCTTCCATGAGGGCCGTCGCGCTGTGGGCGCCCTTGCTGTCGACACGGGCACCCAACTCAAGCAGGAGGCGTAGCATGGAGAGGTCCTTCTGCAGCACCGCTGCGTGGAGCGGCCTCCTCTTATCCGCCACCTGGGCGTTCAAGTCGGCATTGTGCCTGGCGAGAAGCCTCACCATCTCGGGCCAGTGCCTCGTCACCGCCAGGTGTAGGACGGTGGCCTTGTCTTTACCCCTCGAGTTGGGGTCGGCGCCAGCCTCGAGGAGCTTGGCTGCGATGTCCAAGTTCTTGTTCCACCCGGCCTGCCACAAGGATGTCGGCACCGCGCCGTCCTTAGACGTCTGTACTGCGTCGACGTTGGCTCCAAGCCTGATCAGGACATCGACGGCCTCCGGGTGGTTGTTCCTGACGGCGAGGTGAAGGGGCGTGGCGCCCTCGCAGTCCCCCACCAACGGGAGGTTGACCGACTTCGCCGCCTTGGCCACAATCTCAAGTTCCTCTGCATTCCCACTCATAGCGAGCTCGTGGACGGGAGTACTGCCTGACTTCTTGGCTCCGATGATTATCGGGTCGGCTCCTTGCTCCATCAATGCACGGATGACTTTGACGTCGACCTTGGATTTCTTGCCGTTCTTGTCCACGGGATGGCACGCCATGAATAGGGGTGTCTGGCCTTGCTTGTCCCGCACGTTTGGGTCAGCGCCTCTATCCAGCAAGTACTGAACGAGGAGGTACGTGGAATTCTTCGCTGCCGAATGTAACGCCGTCACCCCTTTGTCGTTTGTGATGGTCCAGCTGGCCCCATTAGACAGCAATGTTAGTGACGTCGGCGTTTGCCCCCGCTGCAGCGCTTGGTGCAGTGGGGTTTCTTGCCATACATTCTGGATGTCGACGTCGGCGCCGTAGGCCAGCAAACGATCCAGTATGGGCAGGAATCCTTCGCGGGCGGCGATGTGCACGGCTCGGTCTCCGCCATCTCCCAGGGTCACGTCGACCGAGACGCCCTGGGATAGGATGGGCTCGACGTCGACGAGCCGGCCGCTTCGAACAGCTGTGTAGAGGTCCTTGGCAAGCCGAGTTCCTGACTTCTTGATCTGCGTGTCCGACTTGCTCTTCTTGATTGCCTGAGGCGGCGGCTGCAGCTGGTCAACCGGAGGCTCCGATTTGGAGACTGGCGTCTGGCCGGTCTCAAGCATTGCGATCAACCTTTGTAGGTCGTTGCCTATAGCGTTGGTGTTGTGCCTGTGCCTCTGTCAGCTTCAAGGTCTGGTATCCCCTTCCCGTGTCTCTCGTCGTCGTCGTCCCGCGGCAGACCTACAATTGTATTCCTGACATGACAATGGCGACCATGTCCCTCTGGTCCTTGACATTCTGCACAGCGTCTTTGAAAAAGTCTTCCTTCCACAGGAACTTGGTCTTGTCCCACTTGCCCATGAGCGAGTTCTTTTTACTCTGTAACTTGGTGGCCTCCTCCTCTAGCTCCTCGAGCGTCTCGCGAATGCCCTGCATGCTCTTTTCGAAACACCACAGCAGGGTGTGCCCAGGCGTCTTCTGCTGGGCGCCTGGGGGAGACATCGTCTTTCCACCGTGCTGCAATGCATCTGGCGTCCGCAGCAGCTGGTCTTTAAGGCTGAAGCAAAGTGCCTTGGTCCATTCACACTCATCGATGATATCCCGCACCGCCCTGGGCGTGTTCCTATACCTATCACATAGCCCCTGGATCTGATGGACGACGACGAAGAGATCGATCACACTCGTTATTGCCCCGATGAACTCCATATCAGATATCGCGGGCGTTCGTTGATTTCGGCCTTGAAGTCAATCCGGCCATACGCGACGAGATGGCAGAGATGCGAGTGATATACTAGGTAGCGGAGGGTTATGATCCTCTTGCATGGCCCCCGCTGGTTGCCTGTACTGCGACCAATAACAACGGTGGCTGCGGCTGATGTGCATTGCTGCTATCCCTATATGGAACCACAACAGGTTGCCTCCCAGGTCTGTCATCACCGATAGTCTGGCAGGAAAATAGTGATCGCGGAGATGTCACGCCCGACCACGACAGCATCGTGACATTTTGGGAGGGCCCAAAGAAGAACTAGAGGACGTTGAGCTCCACGTGCATCCGCTGCCTCAGCGAGTCACTGGCTCTGAAGTGGATGTCGTCATCTTGTTGTCCGCGGCAGATACTGTATCCTAGGGCGTCGGATTACGGCCAGTGAGCTGGAGATTTGAACAAATTGTTATCACACAACTTGGAGCTGGGAGGGAACATGCGATGAAAGCGGCAAGAAACCCAGAGAATCAAGCCGGGGCTCTACCGGGAGAAAAGTGACAATGCGCCAAAGCCAAAGAAGGCAGGGACAGGGGTGTATGTATGGCACTAGGAAAGGTCCAGGTCTTGTCAGTTACATACGATGCCTTTGGGATCTAGCACTGCGTGGACCAAGGTTGCGAACCTGGCAGTGTCAACGCAACGTTGAATGAAGTACAGAGTTCACGAATCTTGTTGCGCAACCAAATCCAAAGAAGGACTGGCATGAAATGAACCGAGGGACGTCTTGGTACCACTGGGCTGGCGCTGTGCAGATGTCGATGCGGGATGGTCTGCAGAGCTCTCACGAAATTAAGATACGTAAACTGGGGGTTATCAGGGCAAGCTTTGCTATCATTCGTCATCTAGTCTCGACGAGCCGTCGGGTAGAACAGTCTTCAGCATGCGCATGTACTTCCCCCGTGCCTATGCGAGAAGAGACGGAGCCAAGACTGTTGCGGCCTGACACAAAGGCAAGTCCTCCCACGCCCAGGGAGGGGTCTCAAGACGCTAACGATATGCCACAATCATCTGCAAGCTTGCTCTCTAGTTCCCGGCTGGCAGAACTAACTGATAAGTCCGCGTACCTTGCACCATCACTAATCTCGCCTTACCGTATGATGTGATGAGGGGCACATGGCTGGCTGCCAGGAACAGGTGTCTTATCTATATATGATGCCACTGACGTATCTTGTTGACTTGTGTGGCTTTTTTTCCCTTTTCTCTTTCTTGGTCTACATTGTCCAATCCAGGAAGGAATCATCTTAAAAAGTCGCCGCCTCTCTTTTCCCAGGCAACGTTTTCTACTGACGAACCTCATTCCGATACCTAACGAACAACGTCCAACCCCCCCAAACACCCGAATCAAAATGACAGCCGAAGTCTCGCATGGGAGAGGCGGGGCAGGAAACATGGCCGCCGACGATACTCAGTACGTCGACGGCGAGGTCGTAAGGGCCGGCCCCGAGGGCTCTCACGGAACGGGCGCATTCAGCTCTGGTAGAGGAGGTGAGCATCACATTCTACTCCCAATAGCACGAGGACGCCGGGCGCAAACGCGGCATCGACGCACTCGCGCACAGAGCCGGGCTTTCGTCCCCACTCACCCTCCACCAGTCCTTCAATATCCCTTACGGTCGCGGGCACGACACATCTTTGTTGAACCATTCAACTGACGACGACCTCCCGTTGACACCAGGAGCCGGAAATATTGCCGACGCCAACAGTGAGCCCGCCCCGCGTGCCGACAAGGACGTCATCCCCGAGGAGGCCTGCCGCCCTTCGACCGAGGGCCAGGATTACCACGTCGGCCGGGGCGGTGCAGGCAACGCCGTCGAGATAGAAAAGTCGGCCGCGCACAAGGACATTGACCACGAGAAGAAGGCCGCCGCTCAGGCCCGCGCCGAGGGCTCGGCCGGCGTCAGTGTTGCTGACAAGCTCAAGGCCAAGGTCCTCGCACCCTTCCACAAGAAGTAAACCGGAGAGTCGCCACAGAGAGCGGTGGGTTTTGCCGCGATAGCAGATGCATCCGTGAGTGGTTCCGGTCTTCGGTTGCTAGTCGGTTACGTTGGACGGTTCGGTAGTTTTGTTTTATCAACATACCCTTCATGATATCCCCATTTCGCACAAATAGCTCGAATGCGCTGCTTGCTTCGGAGCTTTTATCCGAAAGTTTCAGATAAGATTAGGCTATTTGCTCAACAATCGTACCAGCAAGGTTTCGCCGAAATGAGTTTTCCGCTATGTCCCATGTGCACATGGCTAAGTAGTGAGATGCATCGCAGAGCCATTATGAACGATGACGAAAGCTTGCGTACACTTGGGAATATTGGATGAATAGATCAAGGCCGCTTTCGGGGTGTTGGATGGGCCGTCATTGTTGCGAACCGTTACCGGAAAAAGCACTATGACGAAATCCAGAGCATTGCCTCAAATCATGGAGGTAAGTGTAGGTTTCTCCCGAGGCTTCCAGAAAATTCCTCGCACACTCTTTGGATGATGGCCAAGCTGTCACTTTTTAACTGCGCCACATTTAACACTGAAAGTCCATGACTTGCACAGATCAAAACCTGCGCATTGTTATAGCAGTGTTGGGGAGCGATCGCAGGGAACTGTCCGAACTATGATTTGACACCGTATCCGGCCTATGGCGTATCACGTCTGCCCATACAGCTCTCCACCACAAGCTGGATTGAGAAAATCCGTCATATTTTCCATTGTCATCTCCAAAACGATAAGAGGCGTTGTGGCGGAGTGGTTAACGCGGTAGACTCGAAATCTACTTCCTTCGGGAGCGTCTGTTCGAATCAGGCCAACGTCGGCTTTTTTTCCTGTTGCCAATTCTTTTCTTCTTTTTTTTTTCTTTTTTTCTTCCGGTCCCTGGATGATGCATTTGCAAGTGGTTTTTTCCTTCGGCAGCGCGTGTTCAGATCATGCCCGTATCGGCATATTGCGTTTATTTTACTCTTTTTAGGTAAAAGTTTGTTATTATCCAGTGTTTCCAGGATGCTTTCTGATGCATAATTGCCAGGGTTATGCAATGTCTGCATGGATATTTACTGGTCCTCTATGATGAGAGATCGTGCATCCCCGCGGAAGATCAAAGTCACGTTATCCCTGATTACTTGACTCCCCAAGAAGGCCAAGCACCCACATTTGCTAGATGCTCTCAGAATCGAGCAATATAATATCAAGCAGCAGCATCCTCCAATAGGTATTGGCAAGCAACCAATTTCTCTCGGACTCGTTGTAGCATCCAAGAGGGTCCGGAGGCCAACACGCATTACCATGGCACTTACACCACGGTTCCCATTAGCTAGCGCTCACCCGCTACAGCTTCTTTCTCTTCTACACATCCACTGTTCACTCAGTATATCAAGTATTCATCACCAAGCCTAGAAGTATGTCCCCATGATACAAACATATTCACTTTAAAGTCTGGAAAGCGGTGTGGCCGAGGCCCTCGGGCTTGCTGGCAATGCACGCGCTCTCGAATGGACTTCATGATGTCGTGGTTGCAACAAATCGAGCGACGCAGGAGCAGTTTACGATGCCTGGACATTCTTGCATTTTGGCCACCAGCTGTACACTCGCACAATCCACCGACTTTTCCATACGAGAGCCTAGGAAGACAGGACTCCTGCGTCTCTATGCGAATTGCATGGGTTTGGTGCAGAAAGACTAGTCAGTCTATATGAGACCTTGAGCGAAGTGTTGTATATGTACACCACCTTGATCTACCCGCCTTTTGCGCCAGTTCGTGTCAAATGTCGCCTGGTATTCACATGACGATGATCGCCACTCAGGGTCGAACGGGTGTTGAGAGTTGTGGTGGGCAGGCTGGTGCACAGAGAACCGCAGATCGCTCGAGCACTTGCAGAATGCCCACACCCGCAAGCTCAAGCTCGGTTCGGATCGCCCAGAAACCTTTGCCGCAGTGTTGCGACCGAAGATGGACGGCAATGCGCGCAGTGGTCTGCATACTAAAACATTGTTGCCAAGTCTCGCCTTCCGAGAAATGCATTGAATTGACGTCGTTGCCGGATAACGGAAGCTGTGTGCAGATTGCGGACTTGCGGCTGGGGTTCGAGGTCAACTCTTCCCAAGACGGCATCGGCTGACCTGCCAAGCAAAGTAAAAACCGGGAGGGACAACTGAACAAAACCGTTGCTGGTATTTCATCACTGCAAGGTTTGCGGCAGGGGTGCTCCGTCGATGATCGGAGTTCTCCAAGACGTCGATGAGTTTGGTCGGCTAATTCGTGGTAGCCAGGGAGAGCCTGAGAGGGTTGACAAGGACACCATGGGTACCGGAGAGACCGTTGAAAAACTAGCCAATGCGGAGAGAATCCATTCACTCTCTCGCGGTGTAGGTGCTGTCAGTGGCGATGATGGGCGAGGGTGTTGAGATGGATGGACAATTTTGTGCGCAAGAGCAAGGAGCAATGCCCAATCCCAAAGGCGGGTGCGGCGCATAAGGTCCATCTCTGCATGCCGGCCACGGAATATGAGACGAATGATGACCCCGGTTCATCGTCCAAAGCGCATCCTCTCGCGATGAATGGAGTTCATAGCCTCATAGCGCGGCACGCTTCAAGCGTAGCAGCAGCGCTAGGAAGACCGTTCCATCAGCAATGATGCGGTGGGATGCACCCATGCCCGCAGTTGCAGCGCCTGTGAGACCGGCCAACGGTGTCCGCTGCGGCGACTGGGGTCTTTGGGGGGCAGGTAGGTTGAAAAGCGACGGAACGAGATCTGATAGACGGTGGCCGTCATGGACTTGCCTGAAGGCAAGGTTAGAAAGGTTTGGGCGAGGGAGCCGCGGAGTCACAGCGCAGGCAGGCAGGAAAGGCAGAGACGGAGAACAGGAGGCCAGGAAGACAGAGACGAGACCATGGATTGACACTGTCACCTTTGGATGACCTTGTCCGTCCATTTCCCATTACTTTTCAGAACGCCGTATAACCAACCACTCCGGCCCACTGCCTGTTCGTGCAAACTCGACCAGACACATTAACTCGGCCTACCTCACTGCATCCCGTCTCTTCTCGTTCTCTTCAACCATCTCGTCTCTCTGTCTGTCTGTCTGTCCCATCCATCCGGGCATTCGAGCTTTGGCCCCATGTTACTGTCCACGCCAACAACACGCCGTCTCCGTCCGCGTCCCCGTCTGCCCCATCCACAAACGTGGGCTGTCGCACAGCCGTCATCGGGCAGCAGCATCACAGTACATGACAAAGTCGCCTCCCGTCTTGGGCCTGTGACAGCTTGCGCGCCCTGTCCTCAAACAAGAAGCTTTTACGACTAGACTCACTGGCGAGGGCACTGGCGAGCTCTCTCAGTATCCAGCAGCACAGAAAGCAAAGAGGGTGCGATCCAGTCAGTGAGTGAGGGCGGAGCGCAGGTGCAGTGCAGCATAGCTGGAAATTTACCGAGTGGCTCGGCCCAACAGCAGCCGCAGCGGCCAAACCTATCGTCGTCAAACCCGAGAATCCGACTCTGGGGAGGGAGGTGCCTAGCACTGTGACTATACTTCAGTGCTGGGTGCCTTGCTCAACCTACACCCTGCATATCCGTCTCGTCAGCGCATCGCTTGCTTGGTACCTCATCTATCTGAGGTGCTGAAGGTTGGCAGTTGTGTCTCTTACAATCTAACTTAGAACACTCCGAAGTGTGGTTGCGTGCTGCTGCGACCGGAGTGCTCCCGCCCGTCTAAGTACCTACTTAGATAGGTAGTAGGCTGGTACCGGGTGAGACAGACAGGCCCCCCACTGTCAGCTGTCCTGTCTTCAACCAGTAAAGTCGCAACCCCTTCCTCCCCCAGCTGCCCGCTCGCCCGCCATGGTTCCCAGGCAGGAGGAACACGCTCGGCCGCCGCCTGCACCACGTCTGTGGTCGCGCCTCTCAACCTTGTCCAAACGTTCCTTTCGCTCCTTCACCTCCGACTTTGAAGCCGACGACGAACGTTCCGATACCGATTCGGACTACGAAAGGATGAGCGGCAGTAGTAGCGACGGCTTTCCTCACGGCCTAGGCCGTTATCAAGGCGAGGATACGCGCTCCACAAGCCAAAATGAGCTATCTGGCTGGTATGCATACGCCTTTGCTGCCGAGACCTATGTCATCTGTGGTGGGTTTTTGGTCCCAACTATGTTTCCGATGACTTGTAATTACGAGCTGACTGAACCTAGCTATTGGTATGTCCTATAATCAATCCCATCAAACCCACTCCTGATGTTGTTCCGGTTGTGGAGCTACCTACTTGGGTAGCTCGAGATGATCGTGCGGTGCACCCCGCTCTGGGCCCCTTTGCGCTGACAAGTCACGATGCTTAGGCTCTTTTATCCCGATCCTCCTCGAGACCCTTGCGCGCGAAAATGGTGTCCTGCTTTCCGATCGAACGACTCCGTGCGGTACGAGCGACTCCAAGAACAAGGCTGACGGGCAATGTATCGTCTATGTTTTGGGCATTGAAATCAACACGGCCAGCTTCGCCATGTATACCTTCTCCATCAGCGTCTTGCTCCAGGCGCTTTTGGTGGTGAGCATCAGCAGCGCTGCTGACCACGGCAATTCGAGGAAGAAGCTATTGCTCACGTTCGCATGGATCGGGAGCTTTTCCGTCATGGCCTACATTTTTGTCAGCAAGAGCACTTACCTCTTGGGTGCACTGTTGGCTATTGTATCCAACACTTGCTTTGGTGCCTCGTTCGTGCTTCTCAACTCCTTCCTGCCCTTGCTGGTCCGGCACCACCCAGAGGTGCTAGCGTCTGAGACTGTTCACACACCGGATTTGGGACACTCCGCTTTAGAATCGCAGCCTCTCAACGGTTCTCATCTGGAAGAGGGCTCCGTCGCCAGTGATGCTGAAGACCAAACCTCGGCATTACTCGGTGGCAACGGACTCGGTGATTACCCTTTGGTTCGCAAAGCCACGCATGAGGAGCTCACCTCGGTGGAGCTTCAGCTATCGACCCAAATCTCGGCCAAGGGTATTGGGATCGGCTACCTTGCCGGCCTCTTTGTGCAATGCGTTGCCATCGCAATTCTGATCACGATGAATAATACCACATGGGCGCAAAGGGTCGTGTTGCTCATTGTCGGTTCCTGGTGGGCGTTTTTCACGATCCCTGCTGCTATGTGGCTTCGTCCAAGGCCAGGCCCACCAATGCCCTTGACGTCAGGAAGGGGACCCCGAGCGTGGCTGAGCTACGTAGCTAACGCTTGGAAATCTCTTTTCAACACTGTCAGGCTGGCTCGTCGCTTGAAGGACGTCGTCTTGTTCTTATGTGCGTGGCTGCTGGTGTCAGACGCGATAGCGACGACATCTTCCACGGCGATCCTCTTCGCTAAGACGCAGCTTCATATGAAACCTTGGGCCTTGGGAATGATCAATGTCATTTCCACTATCGCTGGTGTCGTTGGTGCGTTCAGCTGGGCTTTCATCTCACGCACCTTCAAACTGAAGCCTCATCAGACGATTCTTGTCTGCATTGGCCTCTTCGAGCTCATCCCCATCTACGGTCTGCTTGGGTATCTACCAATCGTGCAGAAATGGGGCGTCATTGGACTACAACAACCATGGGAGATGTTCCCTCTGGCAGCGGTTTACGGGCTAGTACTAGGTGGACTGAGCTCTTACTGTCGCAGCCTCTACTCTCAGCTCATCCCACCAGGCAGCGAAGCCGCCTTCTACGCCCTCTACGCAATCAGTGACAAATCGAGCAGTTTCTTTGGACCTGCGGTTGTTGGCGCCATCATTGATGGGGCAGGCAGTATTCGGCCGGCCTTCTGGTTTTTGGCAGCCCTAGTAGGACTTCCGGTACCGCTCATCTGGTTTGTGAACGTCGAAAGGGGCAAACGCGAGGGTGAGAAGCTTGCTGAGGTCATTGAGGGGTTCAAACGCCGGTATGGAGGATCTAGCAGTGAGACGGAGGAGAGCGACGACCGTCCGATACTCAGTGCATATGACGACGACGAAGATGAGCATGCTCATGGCCGGCCCAGAGGTTATTGAGCATGCTCGGAACGTATATGATAGCATAGCAACGGCGCCTGGCTTGGGGGTTCAGTTTGACCATTGTATCGCGCCGTTACCTGAAAGTTGCGGCCTAACGATTTTCGAGAGCTTCAAGGTGACCAATGCATACCTCTCTTCTCTCTTGTTGGCTTTTCTGCTCGTTCTTCTACTTGATCCTCCCGCGACTCCCGTTGAATTTATCCAAGTTACAATGATCTCCAGTCTCTTCCTGTCCCGAGTTCTTTCTCTGTTGCCCAAGGCATCCGCAGTTTATGCCATCTCTACCACTCCTGTAACCTGCGTCGGTACAACACGGACAAGGAGAAAAGAAAGAAGAGGCAACAACCAGCGTTGGTCTATATAGTAAGTGGATTGTTTGATGGCGACTCATGCAGTTAAGCGATGGGGTTTCAAATTGCGCTCACTAATTGAGGTTGTTGGTAACTTCACGTTCAACTCGTTACAGGAAATCTCGATGGGGAATAAGTGCTGCGGATATTGGCACTTGCCGCCGGGATTCATTTCAGATTTCGGTTGGCGCGGATGATTGTAGCTGCAGTGCTTACGTGACACTCGCTATCTGCGTCACCTGTATCCGTATACCGTACCTACCACGGCCACGGCCACATCGTGGGCGACCAAGCCGCCCTCACGTGACCAATGGAATAATCATCCTGCGCCACCTTTTTTTCGCCGGCTAGTGTCAACGCGCTCCGCTCTTCGTTCCGGAATTGCCAGATCCTTAACCCGCGATTTTCCAAATTTTGCGCATCGTGGCCATCATTGGTCGTCGATACCTGGCCTGGTCCATCCTCTGGCTTGCCAGAGTATTCACACTCTTGTCAAAGTGAGCCCGGACGCCTATCTGGGACGGCGCACTTCCCACTCGGTCTCGTCCATCCCGGTCTCCTGGGCGGTCCGTACGCCTTCCAGCCACCCCGTTCTTCGTTCCCTTCGGTCGCGACATCCCCAGCGAAATCACTCCCAACGTCATTCGTCTCGGACACGTTCAATCGCGGTCGCATCGTATCTTGCCCGGTCCTCCTCGCGAATACCCCTCCTTGACTGCGTTTGCGACTCCGGACCCCCACCACCGCCGTCATGTCCACCTCGCGCAAGCGCCCTCGCGCCCAGGTCGAGGAGAACAAGGCCGAATGTCCTTTCAGCGTCACCTACGCCGAGCCCGATACCAAGGCACAGAAGAAGTCAAAGAAGAGAAGGAAACCGGAACAGGAAGAGGAGGACGGGAAGAAGAGCTCTAAGCAACTCTCTCCCTTCTCACCTTCCGGCGATTTCAACGGCAAGAGCGCCAATGATGTCTTGGATTTGGAATACAACGTGCATCCCCAGAAGAAGTGGCTGGAGATGACACGCTACAACAGTTTCGTTTGTATGTCATTGCTCTAGTCTCCTGTCGCCGTATGCGCTAACAATGAGGGATGGCAGTGAATGGAACTAAGTACTTCAGCGAGGGGTTTATCTACGTCGCAAATGATCAGACTGTTCAACGTCAAAAAGCCGCTGCGGACGGCGCGACAGATGCCAACGAACCGGAGAAGGTGCTGAAGCGATCCAAGTCCGAGGATGACTGGGTAGCCCGCATTCTAGAAATCCGCGCTAGCGACGAGCATCACGTCTACGCGCGTATCTACTGGATGTATTGGCCGGAGGAGCTGCCCGAGGGCACGATGGAAGGAAAGAGATATTCTGGAGGTCGCCAGTCGTATCACGGTCATAACGAGCTGATCGCTTCCAACCATAGTAGGTCATACTCCGCCTTTAGACTCCTGCTTTGTTACTGACTAGAAGCAGTGGACATCATCAACGTTGTCAGTGTAACACTGCCGGCCAATGTCAAACAATGGATCGAGGAGAACGACGACGAGATTCAGGAGGCGCTCTACTGGCGCCAGGCCTTTGATTGCCGGACCCAGCAACTCTCGGTATGCACAACACTTCGGAAGTCAGATCTGCCGATTGAAGCTAACCCTTCTGCAGTCAGTCGAACGCACCTGCAGATGCCGACAGCCCGCCAACCCGGACAAGACCTTGATTGGATGCTCAAACAAGGAATGCGGGAAATGGCTCCATGAACATTGCCTTCGAGAAGATGCCTTGATGCGAACCTACGAGCGACTCGGCAGAGACAAACCCCACATTAACGCGATGCTTCCGGCAGACGGCACGACCTCGGTCGCAGAGAGCGACATTAAGGAGGAAAAGAAGCTGGACGACGGTGTCAACGGACCACTCAGCCCCAGCGAAAGCGGTGCCGATGTTAAACAAACAATTGATGCGAAGCCTAGTGACGCGCCGGAGGAAACAAATGGACAATCTGTAACAGAGGGGACTCCCGCGGTTCTTGATGAGCGTGTCTCGCAACCGCCAACGACTCCTGCCACACCATCTGCGCTGGAGCTCTTGGGAACATCTCGCAAGATAAGATCCGGAAAGAAGAAGGCCTCTGCAAGCGATGCGAAGCCGTGGGAAGGCCTATTTGAAGCGAAAATACTGATGGACATGAACCCGACCAAGATTGAGATCAAGGACCTCCGAGAGAACGTCACCGAAGGAGACAAGGTGTGGACTGAGCCACTGCTCTGCCTTGTTTGCGAAGTGGAGATTAGCTGAGCGACCAGCCTTTCCGTGGCTGTCACACTACAGGATCCTTGATATAATGGGTCGCACAGAAGCGCGCGATGGCGGGCTTCACTTCTCGCTGTATGTATTCCAGCAGGCATCGCGTTCAACAAACACACCCGCAAGCAGTGGGTTGACGCGCTGTTGTTTTGATTACGCAGAATTCCAGTATGACAAATCAGTATACTGAGTACTGACAATGAGTTTGGGGGGGAGCAGAGGTGGTCGAGCTGGCCGATATGAGTGGTTGAGATCTGAACAAAGACCGGAACAGAGTCAGAAGAAAAAGGAGTCATTGTCAGGATCGGAAACTGGCGGTTTGGGTGTGGCCGGGATGTGGTTCTTTCGCGAGGCGTTGGCGAATACGGTTCATCTCGAGATTGGATGAAGTCGGCATAAGAAACAGCTCTCGATAGATGCAGGGAGACGGAAAGCAGACAAAAAGAGGTCGGCAAAAAAGAGGAACATGGCCAGGGAGCGGCCGTCTGGAGACCAAAGTCTTATGAACAGGGCAGTTTCCTAGAGCTTACATGGTTTGTGGTCGAATATTTACCTTATCCTCTTTAACCTTTGCATCAGCGAATGTCGCAATATCTACTTGAATTGAATTTCTTACTTAAGAACGGTCTTATCCCAAGCAATTCCAATTATATTGTTTTCTTTCCTTCTTTTTTCTCTGCTGAAGCATACAGTTGCTCCCTCCCTTCCCTTGATGACGTGCCACTCGATAGCTCCGGCCGGCTCCAAGTGGAGGGTGGTAGGTGCTGCCCGAAGCTCACCTCGACTGTGGGGGCCGGGGAAGCACTCCCAGGGGCTAAGGTCTGATTTACCCCGCCAGGCCAGCGGCCAGCATCTCCCGCTAACACTCACTCCAACCTCAAAAGACGATTCTAAAACCACAACGCTACAAGCGTCGCCAACAGTCTCGAAAGATATTCCGATAGACCCTTTTTAGGGCCTTCGAAAGTACAGAAACCGCCATCATGGCCTCCGTCGACCCCTTCGACTCGGCCCTGTAAGCATTGCCCTTACCAGCCACCCCCCCGATGCTATACAAGAGGTTCTCTCTAACCAAGCCCGCCTTCCTCAAGTGACCTCCTCCGCCGCCTGAATCCGAAGCACACAACCGAACACCTAAATGCCATCATCTCGCTGGCCCCAGACCTGACTGAGGACCTTCTTTCATCCGTCGACCAGCCCCTGACGGTGAAGCGCTGCAAGCAAACGGGCCGTGACTACCTCCTCTGCGACTACAACCGCGATGGCGATAGCTACCGCTCTCCCTGGAGCAACCAGTTCGACCCGCCCCTCGACGAGGCGGGAGCTGGCGGCGTCGGGGCTGGTGGCAGCGAAGGAGCTGGCGAGGGCGCTATCCCGAGCGAGCGTGTCCGCAAGATGGAGGTTCGCGCCAACGAGGCGTTTGATGTCTACCGCGACCTGTACTACGAGGGTGGCGTGAGCAGTGTGTACTTTTGGAATCTTGATGATGGTTTCGCCGGTGTTGTTCTCTTGAAGAAATGTAGGTTTTTTTCTCCGTGAGCGCTGGGACTCGGTGAGCAGCAAAAAGAGGGACACTAGCTAACGAATCATCCGACAGCCGCGACACCGGGAGGCAGCGCCGAGGGCGTCTGGGACTCAATTCACGTCTTCGAGGCCATTGAGCGCGGCCGCACGACGCAGTACAAGCTTACATCGACCGTGATCCTGTCGCTGTCGACATCGACGGGCGCCCTGGGTGACATGGACCTCAGCGGCAACATGACACGGCAGGTCGAGCAGGAGCTGCCTGTCGAGGGTGACGAGAGCCATATTGCCAACGTCGGCCGTCTCGTTGAGGATATGGAGCTCAAGATGCGCAACTTGCTGCAGGAGGTCTACTTCGGCAAGGCCAAGGACGTCGTCGGCGACCTGCGCAGCATCGGCAGCCTCAGTGAGGGCGCCAAGGACCGCGCGGCGCAGAGGGAGATCATTGGGAGCATGCAGAGGTGATCAACGCTCCGAAAGACTCGAGTCTGGGCAATTAGATTGTCACGGCGAGCATGGGTCTTGTTTGCATCAGGATTGGGGGGGGGGGGGGTGAGTAGTGCTGTGGGTTATCGAGATCGGGTCATACGGGGGTTTCAAGTCTCTCCCATTGTCTCTCGAGGTTAGCTCTTGTTTCGTGCGTCTGTCCGCCATCGGGACGGCCGAGGCGGATGGGGGAGTACCAAATAGATTGGGTGTTTTAACTGCCTCGAACCTAGGTCCATGGCAGACCAGCCTGTAATCTGCTCCGACAGCAGTTTCTTCTCTCGAGCGGAGCAGAGCAGGCGAAGTTGCCTGAAAACATTTGTGCCCGTTGCTTCTTTTTTGCTACCCTCACAAATTGGCTTGGACTTTTCTTAATCTTGATATCACCCTGCCGTGATTGAATATGCCAGTGCTTGGTCCATGATTCAGTTAGTCTGGCAAGCACGCTCACTAAACCGATATCAAGCCGAACAACAATCTCGCAAACTTCTTCTCTTTCCGTCTTAGCAAATACCTGCACTTTTGGTCATGATCAGTATCCCGCCATTCTTGCCCTCTTCTCAGCCGACCCCTGCATTGTCAACAAGTACCTGCATGGACTATCCGGTAGCCCTGCCCTCATTTGCAAACTGGGAGAGAGGAGAGTTGAAGAACGGGGTGGCATTCGACGTGGTAAGAGCCATAGAGCGGCCCGGTATCTCGCGTATCCGCGATAGGATCAGTGTGATGAGCAAGAAACAGCTTCTAGCTGCTGCATGATATCGTGTCTTCGTCCACGACTCCTTCGTGGACCGCGACAGTCACTGCTTGGCCCCATGAAGCCACCTTCACTAATGACAGGCCTGTCCAAAGAGTAGAGTCGAACGCCATGTTCGGGAGTGACTGCGGCGGATGGGCTGGTGGGGCGCATGGCCTCGGAGCCCTGGTGGTTTGTCACTGTTGAAGACACTTCTGAAGACTCTCACTTCAGATGTAAGCTCGTTTTCGGTTCTATGTGGGACACGTCATCGAGCAAGTCATCGGTCTAAGCTCGATAACCTAAAGTGCCAGTCCTGGGATTTGGTTGAGGGCAGAGTTCCACTGTGTCCGGAGGGAGGCGTTTGGGATAACTGAACGATTGCATCCCCCCCCCCCCCCCCCCCCCCCCCCCGGAGAACCTGGAAAGACTTTGAACGAACAACCACAGTGTCGAAACTACCGGATCGCTTATTTCAGCTCAGTCTGTCTCGAGTCTACCTTACCAAGCCATCTCCAGAGGGTGTCACTGAGGGAGCCATATCCAAGGAAGAGGCTTTTGAGGTGCAGGGGCGGATTGGTTTGATGGCGGGAAAAAAGTGCGTTTGTATTGCAACGGGAGAATCATAACTGACTGCCCAAGCCCTGGCGAACAGCCCGGCGATGTGGGGCCGTTTACAGGGTGAAAGGGCGGGTCCCGGTCACTCTGCGAAGCCTGTAGAAGGGGTGTTGTTTGATGGTTTCGCACAATCAATAATTGGATCTGGCTCTGTGCCAATGGACTAGCGCTAGCGTATGAATTCCTTGGGAAAGGAAACACAAGAGTCAGTCCGCCTTTGCCTCTGCGACGGTCCTCGAGACCCAAATTACCAAAGGGCTAAGGGGGGAGATCCGGGGACAAGAGCTGGGCGAGGTGAGCCACAAGCGCCGTCGACTCCCGCAAAAGAAACCATGAGAGTTTTGCTGAAGAACAGATCCCAGAAGACTTCTAGAACACGGAGCAGATCTTCCTCCACACCCCCGCCTGCAGCATGCAGGGAGGTGCCGAGTTGAGAGGCCAAGGCCGAAAGCCGGCCTTGCAGCAGCAGCAGCAGCAGCAGCAGCAGCAACGCGCCAGCGCGAGTTCTGGAGTTTGGCGGCATGGCTCAGGCAAGAGGCGCCGGGATACAAACCGCATCATGGAAGGCCCCTGGGCGGGAACGGGGCGGGATCCATGGGATGGGCATCTCGCGCCGCTGGCGCTAGCCGAAGGCTTGGGACGAGCAGTGGCCAACGACGGCTGTCGGCCTTCCCTCCACCTCTTGGTTGGTTTCCTGCAGCGTGCGTCCCGTGGTGCGATCAGCTCGGCTTTTCATATGACGGGTGTGTTACCTGAGATCGAAGCCGTCGGTGAGACAAGATTTGAATTACCCGCTTTCTCGAGGGAAGGGCAAGCATCCTTGGGTTGCACACATATGCAGCACATGATGGTCGGAGATGCTGGCCAGAGAGCAAGCGGCCACGTCAACTAGGAGACTGGGAATGGGAAAAGTGCAATCGAAGGGTCGTAACCGGACATGGATACCTTACTGCCCCCCCGCACCCCTTCCCCCACCCCCCAAATATCTTGATGGCATACGCACGATCATCAGGTGTGAAAAAGACCTGAATCGATCGAAACGGCATCCCGGGGCTGTCGAGATACATTATTGAACAAAGGGTGTCAGATAGAGCGTGGAAGAGCAATATGAGGTTTTTTTTAGTTTTTTTTTTTTTTAGTTTGTCTTGCATAGCTTCCTTGAGAGGGAGCTGCATGGATGTCTCTGATATTCTGTCTTTCGTTGTCGTGTCTTGGGCTAGTCGATAACGCCTACAAGAGCGACGGTGACAACCAGGTACGCGATCCATGGTACGACGCTCTGGGCGCCTGGGGCGCACATCCCTTCCTCTCTTTCTCTTTTCACTTTAAATTGGATGCGTGGCAGCCTGTCGATCGAAATGGTTGCCCCTCCCCCCACGGTAAATTTAATGGCGGATGCTAAAGCTGGTGTGAGGAGTCAGGTTCTAAAAGATAGTGGGCGCCACGGGCACGGAGTGGGCCAGGGCGTGCGGGAGAACGTAAACCGTACAGTACGTAATTAGTACCTAGATACCTACCTCTCGGTAGGTAGGTACCAGGTAGGCAAAGGTAGAGTATGTACGGAGTAGTTTACATGCCTACCTTGGTTCAGTACAGACCATTGCTGGCCTGTGGCAGGGAGGCAGGGTTGTTTCGAGGGACCACGAGCTCTGCAGGTTGATGAGCAGGAGGCGCGACGGGTTTTTGGTGTCCAATCAGATGGCCGGCTTTCCTCCTCCTCCTTGGAATCTTGGCCGATGAGCTTTGCTGTGCGGGAGAACATGTTGGCCGCTGCCGAGAGGAGAGTGCGGTACGGATACCAGCATCGCAGCTGCAGCTTGGATGTCAAGTGTAACGTTGGTCCCCACGGGCAGCTCCCGTCCCTTGGATCCGATGGCGTGGAGACTGGCATTTGGCAACGATCGTCCGGCGTGGCTATCAATAGCACCGTAACCGCTAGGGCATTATGTCTCTGTTGGATCGAGAAAAGAGAATAGCGCCTCGACGGGGTGACTCGGATGGAAGGCTGGGGAGGACGGAGGAGACGGAGATGACACCGAATCAGTTGTATGTCGATGGCGGGAGGGTGCCAGTCAGAGCCGTCCAAGGCCTAGGTGCCGTTAACGGGTAGCAATAAACAACCAGTCAAGGAATGAGATATCGCTTCGCGCAGGTCGGAACAAGGAGATGCGGGAACGAGTGACGAGCCTGTGAAAGAGCCACCACCACAACACAACCACCTGCGGTACCTATGTGGTAGGCGAGGTGTTCCATCAGCAACAGGCATTTACCCGGACACCCTGGCGACATTAGCATCTACACAAGAAGAAACAAGCACATTTATCACAGCTTCACGCCCGCCTGCGCAGGTACCTAAACTAGGTAATTAGGTAGCTTGCGTGCGTGCGTGTTTGCTCGTATGTTTGCTTCACTGCTACTAGGAGGTGTGTTTTGGGGAGGGGGGGGGGGGGGGGGTACACTAATGGACGATAGGGGTGAAAAGTATCGTTGGAGTTTGAAGCTGCATAAAGCCCCACAGCCCTCTGTCAGCATCCAGCAGCATCCAGCAGCATCAATTGCACGGCTCAGCATCTGTAACCCGTCCAGGAGTGACGGAGCGAGCGATATGATTTCAGGTTGTCCGTCTCCGTCTCCTCCTAAGCTCAATCCTCCTTCGCCTCCCTCGTCCGACCCTCCTCGTCCCGCTCCCACGGCCCGCCCCAATCTCCATTTTGGCCCCCGTTTCTGAACGACAGGTCCATTGTATTGGACGAGTCTCTGCCGATGCAGCGCCGCTCTGTTTCGTCTCTTTTTTTTATGCTGCCGTTTCCGCTACACTAGTGATTTTTCATCTTGTTATACCCTCCTCCTGACACCTGTGCGGGAAACACTGGGAGAAAAAGGGGTAAGGGCAATCTGTCGTCTCAAGTTTGGATTTGATTTTGCTTTTGTCTGGGTACGTTACCTTGAGTTATTATCTGGTTTCTATTATCATCGTACGTAACCAACCAGCCTCCAACTCTGCATTAGAACAACACAACGCGCACAAACACACCTACCTATACACACATACATACACACGTACATCCATCCATCCACCCATCCATACGCCCACACCACTAACAAGCTTCCAATCCCATCCCTCCCCCCTTCATTTCATCTCAATTCATGCTCCTCTTCTCCTTCGTTCCATCATCGCCACCTCCGGTTGCTTCCAGACTTCGTTTCCGCCTCTGCTCTACCTGCTACTCACTTTTGAGCAGATACACTCTCCAGTGGTTGAGATAGAACCGCACTGCTTTTTGCCCTCTTCCTTCGTCGCCTTCTCCATCGATCTGTCTCGGGCTCGATCCCTTGCGCTCTCCCCCACCCCTGCCGAGCTTTGGCCGCATCTATCCCGCTGCACTGAGCTTCACCCTAAACTCGCGCAGCAACCCTGGTGCTTCTACTTTTCCAATTCCAGGGGCAAGGGCACATCACCCCCTAACTTGAACCTGGCCCAGCCAGCCGTCAACCCCGCCGGCAGCCACCAACCCTCGCTGCCGTTGCTGCCCGTCAGCTCCTACCTTGCTGCCGAGTGCCCAGTGCACCACCACCACCACCACCACCGCCGCCGCCTCGAACCCCTCTGCCCAAACCCGTCAACTTGCGCTTGCCACATCCTTTCCTCCCCGTCGACACAACATCGCGCACAACGCACAAACAACTTTCCGAATAACTCTGCCACCGATCCGCCTCCCCCCTCTCCTTCACCATGGCCGAGAAACCCTCAGTCCTCATCATCGGAGGGCTGGGCTACATTGGTCGGTTCCTGGCCCGCTACATCCACGACAACGACCTCGCATCAGAGGTCCGCGTCGTCGACAAGGCCCTGCCCCAACTCGCGTGGCTGGCTCCCGAGTTCCAGGACGCCTGTGCCGGCACCAAGTTCATGCAGGCTGATGCAAGCAGAGAACGTAAGTTACCCGGATGAACCACCAAGAACGCGACACTATCCCCCCTTTCCCTTTCCCTTTCCCGCTCCCTTTTTTGTCACTTGCCTTCCCTCTTCTGCCTAGTGATATGGACCAGCCCTGCGGCCGTCCCCGGACATCCCGCTAGGCTTGCTGCTCTTGACTGACATTATTTCGCCCTTGTGCAGAAGCTCTAGCCAAGATATTCGACCGCCCCAATGGCAAGCAGTGGGATTACGTCTTCAATTGCGGCGGCGAGACAAGATATTCGCAGGAGGACGAGGTTTACAAGCTGCGCTCCCTCGGCCTGTCGCTTGCCGTGGGCAAGGAGGCTGCCAAGCGCAAGGTCAAGGCCTTTATCGAGCTCAGCACCGGCATGGTCTACAAAGCCGACTCGTCCCCGAGCAAGGAGGGCGACAAGTTGAAGCCCTGGAGCAAGATTGCCGTCTACAAGTTGCAGGCTGAGGAGGAGCTCGCAAAGATTGAGGGGTACGAATCTCACCTGGCATTTACCATTGAGGGTTCACGGGGCTCGGCCCATAACCCCCCCTCCCCCTCCTCATCAACGTTCTCTCGATGCTGACCATAGTGCCCGACTTGTAGATTGAACCTCGTCATTGTTCGGTTAGCGCATGTGTACGGGCCCTATGCGTCACAATGGGTTGCGACGGCACTATGCATGGCCCGTGTGTACCAATACCTTGAGAGCGAAATGAAGTGGCTGTGGGACAAGGGCCTTCGGCAAAACACGGTACACATCCAAGATGCTGTGCGAGCGCTCTGGGAGATCACGACGTGGTATGACAAGGGCAAGGACAAATGGGACGACAAGACCATGGGTCGTGTGCCCACGTTCAACGTCGTGGACAAGGGCGTGACGACGCAGGGCACAATGGCCGAGATCATTGGTGAGGTTTTCAAGATCGAGACGGGATTTCAAGGTCAGCTCATCAGCACGTTTGCGCGCCTCAACATGGACAGCGTCGTTGACGACGTCAACGACGAGCTCATGGGTCCCTGGGCCGAGCTGCTCGAGAAGGCAGGTATCGCGCGACCAGGACCTCTTACGCCATTTATGGAAAAGGAATTGCTGAAGGATACCGATCTCAGCATGGACGGCAGCCGGCTGGAGCAGGTTGTCGGCTTCCAGTACGAGAAGCCGAAACTTACCAAGGGACTGGTTGAGGAGGTGATTGAGAGCTACAAGAAGATGAACTGGTGGCCGTGACGGAATGAACTAGAAGCATGGGAGCGTGCGGATGGATAATGACTTTCCAGGCCGGTTCCCAAGAACGGGGGGCCGGTGCGGGCGCGAGAGCGTCGTGGCATCAGTCGAGTCGTTTGTTGGGAACTTTAACTGCATGCGAAAAGCATTCGGAACCGATGGCGGGCAGCAGCCGGGGCATTTGTACAACCAAGATATCCTTTTCCTTTTATTCCTTTTCGTAGCTCCGGCCATGTATGTTGGCCTTATCTTGAGGGCAGTAATCCGCGACGACGTTAGGCAGGCCGGTGCAATCTTGTATGACGACTAGGGGCTCACGGATGTTAAATTGTGACGTGCTGGAGCTGTTCATGCAACCTTGTTAGAGAAGCTCACTTGTGATTCATTCGCAGCGTCGCGAACAGCTGCTGGGATCTTCCTGCTTCCGCAGCTCACCTCGTTGGAGCTTGGCCCCGCTGCAGCGAGCAAGCTTTCTCTGGATTCTCGAACTTCGTTCCTCGGCTGTTTTGGGGCGCTGGAGTCAGTAGAGAGCCCGGCCGAACACGCGTGAGAGAGGGTCGTCGCATCGCGAACCTCTACCATCACCACCATTACCATGACTCGTTGCGCATGATTGCGCTTCACTAATTTCCTCCTCAAAAAGAGAAAGGACGGCACCCCAGTCAAGACTCTTCTGATGGGGTTGTCTTCTTGGGGGATTGTCGGTGTTTCAAGCACACATTAGAGACATAACAATGTTGACTAGACTCGATCGAGGCTTGCTGTCAGGTCTGGAATTCCGTACGAGTTGTCAATGCATGTCGTGGAACCGGGCGGATGCGGTTGGCTAGTGATGGGATGGGCGCTATTGTGCGATGCGAAGAGGGCACACGAGGTTGTGCGATGCGAAGCCGAGCGGACGGGTTCATGCTGGTAGCAAAGCGCTGTTGGACGGCAGAAGTAACTATTATGCGTTTACGGTGTTGGGGAGGGCGCGCACGAGGTTGTCTAGCTGGATATAGTAATCGGCTCGCTCCCAATCCGTCCGGTGTAACTGTATGTCATGCCCCCCGGGTATGCGCATGACTGACTGGACGACAAGGTGCGAGGCAACAGATCGTCGGTCAGGGAAAGTCTGCCAGCGCTATGGGTAGCATTTGATTGTCCAGGACGGGATGGGAGGACCGAGGCTGGTTACCGGTATGGCCCCTGTCACCTAGGTACCTATGCAAACGAGGACTTGAGAGGATGCGCGTGCCTACATCTACGTTTTATCCCAGCGAGCAGAGTGACATGCTCGCCATGCATGCTGTACTTTTCACCACGCATGGCATCCAGTCAAGTCAGCCAAGGGACCAAGAGTCAGTGTGCCGCATCAGACGATAGAAAAGGTCGTCCATCGCACGGCCGATTCAGCCTGCATCTCGCTGGACCAGGCCGGTGGTCCGCGCTCTCTTACGGTTTCTCGACATTAGCCACCTGATTTGGAAACAGACATCCAGCTTTGATTGTGGGACGGCCGGCCCAACATAGCTCAGCATCGTCGGTTGTCGTCGTGGTCGAGGGTTCTGGTTTGTGTGACTACGTCTCCACGCCGTATGTCGGCGGCCGGATTGGGATGAGAAATAGCGAGCAGAGTTTGTAGTATGCATTTACTGATCATTTGGCCCATGCGGATCTAGGTGTAACTTGGCTGGATAACCCTGTTCCGGGAGAGGAGGCGATGGATGGATAGGTGCTAGGAGGAGGAATTGAAATGGTAACAAGAGTCGTATACACAAGTACATAGTAAGTCCGGGGGGAGGGGACAGTGTGGGTAGTAACGGGGTGACTGACTGCAATCCCACGTGCATTGCTGGGCAACATTGGGAGGCTGGATGGTGTATTGAGCCTCGGTCGAAACGAGAAGCATCATAATGGCCTAGTGTTCTTAGCTCTTAATCTGGTTGGCTGAGCCATAGCAACGCAGCTTGACCTTTCTTTTTTTTCCCCTCCCTTCTTCTTTGTCCAGCTGTTTACAGCCATGATTCTGATTTCGCTACCTAGGTAGACCGTTGTTGATGTCTCGGCAGCCAAATTTTGGCTTCAAAATCCAACTTTCCCCCACCGGACCGGGCCTGTCCAATAACCTTAAGGTTGACTGAGTTCCGACAGTTCGTACCTGACTTATGGCAGTGGCAGCTACCCCTGGCTAGGCAGGTAGGTGTAGAATACCCCGCCGGGTTTGGCGCTTCTTGGCCCGAGGCTCAACCCACGTCACCTGTTTATTCTTCAGCCCAGCCCAATACATCTTATTCATGCGTCCTCGCTGTCAATCACACAAGTCACTCTTATTAATCACATAAATGAAACATATACAGGAAAGAAGTGCCTGCCTGAAACTGACTTCGCGCCTGCCTTGAGTGACTTCTGAGCTTTGTGTTCTCTTTCCCTTCCCAGGCCTATATCTATCTATCTACTCCGTACCCCTCCTGAGTTTCAGTATTGCGCTTTCACTCACAATACCCACCGAACCTTCAAATCCACCCAAGTGAAGCTTCGCCTCTCCCGAATCGACTACTTCGCCGTAATACTACTGCTCCAAAGATATTCTTCGCTCTCTGTTCTGGCTATAAGACGGTACATATTCGCATTGTGACACAATGGCTGCCCCCGCAACAAAGACAATTGCCGACCTCTCCGGCCGGTGGGCCATGGTGCGTTCAATTGCAGCCCCCTCCCCAAAGGACCCGACGCCATGCCAGCTGTGATGCGAACGGCAATGACAGCATAATAACAGTCTTCCAGAACAAAACCCTCTCTGACTCTCCTGAGCCGGCCCTCGTCGTCCAGGGCATCGGCTGGATGACGCGCAAGGCCATCGGCTTGGCCACCGTCACCCTCAATGTCAAGCAGTACACCGCCCCGCCTTCCCCTCCCGGCCAAGGCACCGAGCCCGTCACCCACATCGACATTGACCAGGTCGCGACGGGCGGTCTCAAAGGCACCTCGGAGGAGCGCTGCCTAGACTTCGAATTCCGCGAGCACTCGGATTGGATGTTCGGCAGCGTCCGCGGCCAGAGCAAGTGGATGAGCTTCGACGAGATCGAGGACGAGTTTCTCAAAAAGGGCTGGCTCCAAGGCGAAGACGAGGCTGTGGGCCCCGACGGCAAGAGCCACATCTACAGCCACGTCGAGAGCATTGACAACGGCTGGACCGCCACCCAGGTCTGGGGCTTCCAGACCATCAACGGCGAGAGACGCCACGCCCGCAACATCCTCGTCCAAAAGGGCGGCAAGAGAGCCGAGATCCGTCTCGTCTACGACTGGCTCCCCTAGAGTAATTGCGTTGGATCCGGATTGTACCGGATGTAATGGCCGAGTGGTGGCCAAGGGGCAGTTTGTCTTATACGCGGATGGGTTGGGGTTCTACACTACATGCAACGAGAGCAATGGCTCTTACAGACACACACACGAGACTAGCAATACCGTCACGCACATGATGGCGACATGCCCTACCAAGAGTAGACTTTGAGAGCATGAATAACAGTTTAACCCGATTCAAACGCCTATTCCCTACGCGTGATGATTTATGTGCAGTCGTGTGTGACAACGGAGCAATGTTGAATCGCCGCCTGCCCCTCTAGTGGTCGTGCTTCCAATGCCTTTTCCTCCGTTCCACGCGAACCACCAACGCCCGAGTGGATGCAGCTACCTCCCAACTTTTTCTTTTCTCTTCTTTCTTCCACCATAGCATAGGCTGTGTTCGGTCTGTTCCGCTACTACTGTTGGATATCAAACGACCCTTTCTCGGACAGATCTCATGTCTTCTCCGTCAATCGAATCCCCCCCTCTCCTCAAAACCACTTTCTTCACGCCGGCCTCCTCTTAACGAACTCTTGCAAGTCCTCCACCGTCGCGACGCCTAGCACGAAGCGCCTCTTCTCGTCCGTAATTACAGCGAAGTGACTCTTCCTCCCTTCGACGCCGTCGCCCTCGAAGAAGGCCTCGAGCTCCTCCAGCGGGGTCTGCATCGAGATGACGCGGTACTTGCGCCCCTTGCGCTGGAATCGTACCATGGCCTTGGAGAGCGGATCCGAGGGCGAGACTTTGCCAGCGTCAAGCAGAGCCTGGAGGTGTGGGATGGAGAGGTAGCCGACAAGGGCGCGATGGGCATCGACAACGGTCAAGTGAGTGTAGTCGCGCTCGAAGGCCGACATGAGGGCGTGGGAGATGGGGTCGGTTGGGGTCAAGGAGAGGGCGGCCGGGGGGTCAAGGTCTTCTACGGTGGCCTGGACGGTGAGAATGTCAGTGTCAGGCAGGCCTCGTGGGAGGGGTGTGTATAATCGAAACAAAGAGGACGGTCAAGGACAAGAGGACGTACGCCGCGGTAGCGAGAAGACCATTTCGAGACGTAGGGGGTGGAAGCGTCGCTGGGCTGCGATGTGGACGCCGCCGCAGCGGAGTTTGGAGCCAGAGCCGCCATCGTGAACGTTACGGGTTGTTTTAGGTCCGGTGTAAGGCTGTCCTTTTTTGGTTGTCGTGTGTATATTTCGCGGGGTTCTTCTTGGACGGGGCGGTGTCGACAGGGCTGAACGATTTGGCGGGATATAGGGACCTGAGTGTCTTGAGTGCCATGTGGGGCCACGGCCCGCGTCTTCCTGATCTGAGTGTCAAGGTTTCGCTAAGCAGCGCGCTGAACGGGTTCTTCACCAAGGAGGCGGAGGGTTCCACAGCGGTACGAAACTACTGAAGATCACTGGTAGGGCAATGGCAGGGCCCTACCGATTCACCGCATGATTCATTTCTGGTAAGAGCTCGACATTTTCAGCACTGGCAATGACTGGAGAACAAGGAAGTCGTTCCTCTGGGGTCCCTGGATATGCTGTAATCCTCATTGCTCACATTCCACAACAATACTGTGAACTATGACTATGACTATGCTGAACGACCGGCCCTAAGACGTTGGACAGCTCAGGCTCCTTTTACATACATAGGTACGTCCAATTACTGGTCTTAAGTGCTTATTCGCCGTTAAATCCGGGACACGGACGGCAATAAGCCACGACCCGTGCCTCGATAACAACACGGAATCCTCTGGTGCTCCTTATCGACATGGTTCTCCACTCCAGCTTCCACTCTGGACCTTGTGCTTCCAGTGATGTCACTCTTGCATCTCAAGTACTTCCGCGCAGCTCCAACAGCCTCCTTCCCCTCCCAATGCCACACGCTGAGGCTGCGACGGCCTGGACGACGTCTCTAAGTGATACGAAGTATCGGAGACCTCAGGAAGACAACCCCCTTTCGACCATCCCACCCATACCGTCGTTCCTAAGCTTCCCGTCCAGTCACTGCTCGGGGCGCCTTCCCATAATAGCATGCATGAGACAACAAACCTGTTTCCATGACATCGCATACTCCAACCTCTCTTTCCGGTGTCAATCAGTGTGTGACACGCAAGTCTTCGACCTCTTTTCCCCATTCCCCTAGTCTGCTTCGTTTCGTGAGCTTCGCTCTTCTGCTTCCGTCCTTTGGGAAGTGTAAGTTCAGCCTCGAGTATCTCGTTCTTGCGCCGGAAACGGTTGTTCGTATCGCGTGACATCCACCTTCATCCTTCCAAGCTAGAGCACACCCTCAGCTCCTCACCTCCCCGCGGCAAGAGAACTTCTCGTCACTGCTTTCCTCCTCGACTAGTCGTCGTCGTAAAGGAATCTTACTACTGTGCCGTGCCCGTCTTCGAGCTCTAGGCATCGTTGCGAAACCCAATTGTGCACTCGGCTCACCTTCCGAGCTAAACCCCACGGATTCAATTGTCCGTCATCAATGCCAAGGGCTGAATCTGACGCTTGTATTAGAATACCTTGGCCTATTTCAATCCCCCAATCGGCCCCGACGAAGCAGCGTCCCGGCCATGTCGTTCCTCTACCCGCGAACCGATGCCCTCAAGGGCTGTCTCTCTTCACCCTTCTGCGGCGTCGAGGATGCCGGAGCTACCCTCCACCGCCGACAGCAGCCCTCGCGCTACCAAGCTCGCCCGGAGCTCTACGGCGCCTTCTCCACCGTCGACGATGTCAAGGGCAATGCAAAGCAGCTCAGCGCTGAAGCTGCCGCCGAGTTCGATAAGGCGAGCGCGAAAGCCCAGTCCGCCGTCGGTGGCAAGATCGAGCTGTACTCGGGCAAGTACTATGCCGCCTGCACCGTTGGCGGTCTCTTGGCCTGCGTGAGTTGCCTGTCCGTCAGAAACATTTCGCAGCGGATACGACTGGCTAATCACGTAACAGGGACTTACTCACACTGCCGTGACGCCACTTGACCTCGTCAAGGTCAGAAGACAGGTGGACAGCAAACTGTACACGGGGAACTTTCAGGCCTGGGGCAAGATCTTCAGATCAGAGGGCCTCCGCGGAATCATGACCGGCTGGGGTCCAACATTCTGGGGTTACTCGGCCCAAGGCGCGTGCAAATACGGCTTGTAAGTGGTCCAACGCAGGAGCGACAAGCAAACAAGGACTCGTTCTTCGGCATGCACATGTACTAACCTACCCTAAGCTATGAGTACTTCAAGCGACAGTACTCTCTCCTCGCAGGCCCCGAGAACGCCGAAAAGTACAAAACGCTCCTCTTCCTCTCCGCATCGGCCTCGGCCGAGTTCCTCGCTGATATCGCCCTTTGCCCCTTCGAGGCCGTCAAGGTCCGGATGCAGGGCGGCATCCCCTCCCCATACAAGGGCACCCTCGATGGCTTCAGCAAGGTAACGGCCAAGGAGGGCGTGGCCGGCTTGTATAAGGGGCTGTACCCCCTCTGGGGCCGCCAGATCCCCTACACCATGATGAAGTTCGCCTCCTTCGAGACCATCGTCGAGATGATCTACCATCGCCTCCCCGGACAGAAGAGCGACTATAGCAAAGCCGCACAAACGGGCGTTTCCTTCGTTGGCGGCTACCTCGCGGGTATTCTCTGCGCCATTGTCTCCCACCCGGCCGACGTCATGGTCAGCAAGCTCAACGCGAATCGCCAGCAGGGCGAAGCGTTCGGCGCTGCCATTGGACGCATCTACAAGGACATCGGCTTCGGCGGCCTCTGGAACGGTCTCCCCGTCCGTATCGTCATGATCGGCACCCTGACCGGCCTCCAGTGGATGATCTACGTGAGTTAATGCTTGCTGAGAACTCATCTTTTTGAGGAAAAATTTGGCGACTGACAGCCTTGAGCAGGACTACTTCAAGATCTTCATGGGCTTCCCGACCACCGGAGGAGCTGCCCCCTCCGCCGAGAAGAAATAGAGCAAGAGAGGAGTATTGATTCCACGGGAGGTGAAAACAGCACGTAGGTTTGGGTTGAGCGCAATGGGATGGGGGAGATGGATGGATCATGATCCAGAATCATTAGTAGATGATGGGGGGGTTATGCCATTCTTCATCCGAACATGATTCTCCTTGGCCGTTAGAACCTATCCTGACAGTCTACGCTCTGGATATATCGAAGAATATTGAATTTGACAGTGGCTAGCTCACTGCTTTGGAAGGTCTAGAACCCCATCAAGTGACAACACTTGCCGTCGTTGCCGTCTCCTTCGCCCAAGACACCCTAAGAAGAAAATGGCCGAGAAGCGAAGGAGAGAGGTAACACGAGCGATAGCGTACCAATACTGAACCCGATTTACTTAAAGAGCAACGATCCAGAGGCGTGGTTTCATCTAGTTTTGCTAGCCTAGTGGTCAAGGCGCTTGATAGCGGACGGGACTCTAGTTCCCTTGTCTTACCCGCCGCCGTCGAGAACTGCCGCTGAGTACAGCCGCTGGCGCACTTTTTATAGCCATCTCCCTTATCCATCCTTCATCGCTGGCGCACTGTCCGTTCCTTCGAATATATGAGATGTACTAAGACTGAGCAGCCAGAGAGAAAAGGGGGGGAGGGAGGTAGTGCGCGCCAACGGACTCAATATCTGAACGTTAGGCAAGAAAGCAAAATTAAAATAAAAATAAAAATAATACGATGACGGCACCTACGCAGTGCTCAAACTGTCCGCGTATTAAGTCGCCCGGATCCTCTGCCCTTCGATCCAAGATGAGGTACCGTAATCCGATACGGAGCATCGTGTAATGACTTGGAGCGCAAAGAGTGCTACTGCCATAAGACTCGTTTTTTTTCATAACTCGCAGCATGAAATAAGATAAGCTGTTATGCAAACGGATTGTTGGTATTCTCATCCCCAACCAATTAATCAACCGTATCATGCTGCGTGCTTAGCCGCAAATCCTGCTTGGCTGGACCGCTTAGGACGTTGTATCTGGGGCAACCCTATTACAAAGTAGAATCCCTAACGGGGCCCAGAAAAGTTAAGCTTCAGATTTGGATTTGTCTCAAGGTCACCAGTAGTGAATATACGGAAAGGCATTTTTGGACGTGGCGCTTACGGTCGACATCGCGTGTGCCGTGGAACCCCGTCGCACTAGCCTCGGATGCGGACGCAGAGCGCACTGGGCGGTTCCGCACGCCGCCGACGCCGCAGCGGTCACCCCCCTCCAACCTTCCAACTCCACGACATCAGGGCCGTCCGAACCTCCCTCACGCGGACGTTGGCATTCTGATGCCAGACAACACTTCTGCCACCCCCGAAAGACAAGAACTCGGGGACATGTCTAAGTACAAGCTCAGTACCTGTTCTCTCTACATTGGACCAGAGACTGCTTGGTCAACCTTGGGACGTTACATCTGTACACTATCAAGACGGGGAAAGGCCAACGCCATGTTGCCATTTCGTCATAGCACACCTGGTAATTAGGCGGCAGTGGGGGGAACGCCACCGAGGAATGCAGGGCATGACGTCCACTTCTTCCAGAAGTTCGTGGGAATCGGGCCGGCAAGGAGGCGCGTGGAGGATGCTGACCTACCACGAGACAGCAGTGAACAGATTGTGCGGTGAAGGAGGGCGGTGGCACCCACAAGTCGGTTGTCCCATTGGGAGAGGCTAGTTCTAGTGGGCTTGGCCTGGCTAAGATGTGCGATCAAGTAAGCCAAGGAGCGCCACGAGCGAGGCACAACGACGATAGCCCGAACAGACGAATGTGAGGGTGTGGCTCGCGTCGAGCGTCCCATGTTTATCTCGGTCCTTGTTTCCCGAAGATGACGCAAAAAGAGGGTTACTGTATTTGAGGGCTTCTTGGTGCAATTGAAGCGCGGGGCATTCGGACAGGCACTCCTCTCTCCCATGGACGACACTTGTTTATCGGCGGTCAGTGAGGAGGGGACGGTTCGCCATAGGCCTTGAGCGCTGAGGACGAGCCATGAAGAAAGTGGTTTCGATCGGACATGGATGAGACAGAGGTGCAGCAAGGAATCGAATGCGCGGAGTGGTGATTGGTACCTCATCGGTGTCAAGCGGATATCCCCCGCATAGATGCTGGCTGGGTTACAAATAGCGTTCCCCCGGCCTGGTGGGAGTAACATGCTGGGACAAGGGGAGGCAAGCAGCACCAGATCGACAGAGCCCCTCTTCACTATGTATTGTGTTTGCAAAGAGACTTGGCTTGTCAGAGGGACCGCCTTGTATCTGGTATCTGCACCTTAGTCTTAAGATGAACCGAATAAGAACGGGAAGTGAGTCGGCGAACGGGCTTGGGTCCAGCAGCGTGGATGAAGGCAGCAACTAGGCCGCCATAGGTAGCCAGACACGAAATCGCACCAGTAGCGTCGGGCGGTTGGTCGTCTCCCACCAGCGGCGATGCAACAATATCATTTTGGGGTGGCCGCACCGCACCACCGAGGGATCCAACAGAGCGGAGAGGCCTGCCTAAGCGGTTGCAGGTAATAGGGTGGCCTGGCCTAGCTCGGTCTGACCTGACGGGCCAGCTGCTTGTTGACGGATGACTTACCCATCCTTGCTGCAGCAAATCTGCCATTTTCAGGCAAGGCGGGTTTAGGTTGCGTTACGTTGCGTCGAATCG